TGAGTCATTTTAGGAGTGGAATGAGTCATGAAGGGGACCAGCTGATTCCAAATCTTTACCGTTACATACAACCATGGGAGAGTGAATTTATAGATTCACAACGTGTTTGGGCAGAATATGCACTGAAAAGGCAGGAAGCTCAGGCACAAAATAGGCGTCTGACTCTTGAAGATTTGGAAGTGAGCATTCTGTTATTGCCTACTGTTTGTTCCCCTGTTATATCCTTCTTTTTTTGTGAAAATTAAATTTTTTCCTTTGCTTTTATCTGGGGCTGTACATTATTTCTAAACACTTATTCATTTGGTTGACAGGATTCATGGGATAGGGGAATACCACGCATAAATACTTTGTTCCAAAAGGACCGGCATACTTTAGCATATGACAAAGGTTGGAGAGTTCGGACAGATTTTAAGCAGTACCAAGTGTTGAAACAAAATCCTTTCTGGTGGACACACCAGAGGCATGATGGGAAATTGTGGAACTTAAACAACTACCGAACTGATGTGATTCAAGCCCTTGGAGGTGTTGAAGGAATCCTTGAGCATACATTATTCAAAGGAACATAGTAAGTTTGCTACTCTATGTTGCTCAGTTAGCTATCAATTTTTAATATTTTATAAAGTTATTCCAGACCATAAGCCTATACAACATTATACTACCCTTTATTGCGTAGATACAGATTGCATAGGTGATAGGTGAATGAAAGATATTGACCTACGCAAGTGCAGCTGAGATACAACTAATCAGAACCCATCATTACATCGAATTAATAAAATTCATATTGTGGCTGATCTATGTGGGCTTTCTATAATCTAGCATTTGTTTTATGTGTTCTCAATTATATCGTGTGAAACTTATATATGATAGTGGAAAACATAAATATCATTTTTAACATATGTTTTCATATTTTAGTGACTCACATCATGTTATGGATTGCAAATAAGTTCTGTGAAGTGTCTGTATTCCTGTTGATTCAGATAGTTATTGCACATTACTGAACTCTTTCTAATTTCAGCTTTCCTACCTGGGAGGGGCTCTTCTGGGAGAAAGCATCTGGTTTTGAGGAGTCGATGAAGTATAAAAAGTTGACAAATGCACAGAGATCTGGGCTCAATCAAATCCCCAATCGTAGGTTTACTCTCTGGTGGTCACCTACCATAAATCGGGCCAATGTATATGTTGGTTTCCAAGTGCAGCTAGATTTAACTGGAATATTTATGCACGGGAAGATTCCAACCTTGAAGATATCACTGATTCAGATATTCCGTGCTCACTTGTGGCAGAAGATTCATGAAAGTGTTGTCATGGATCTCTGTCAGGTTTTGGATCAAGAGTTGGATGCTTTGGAAATTGAAACCGTGCAGAAGGAAACGATACATCCCAGGAAGAGTTACAAAATGAACAGCTCTTGTGCTGACATTCTTCTGTTTGCTGCCCATAGATGGCCAATGTCGAAACCTAGTCTTGTTGCTGAGCCAAAGGATGTGTTTGACCAGAAAGCGAGCAATAAGTACTGGATAGATGTACAACTCCGTTGGGGAGATTATGATTCTCACGATATTGAGCGTTACACCCGAGCTAAGTTTATGGACTACACTACTGACAACATGTCCATCTATCCATCTCCCACAGGTTTGTGGTTTTTCTGGTTGCCATATTGTTTGTCTTCCATTTATCTTTTTTTGGGAATGTAATCGTGCTTGTTTCATGCAGGGGTGATGATTGGTCTTGATTTGGCATATAATTTGCATTCTGCATTTGGTAACTGGTTTCCTGGTTCAAAACCGCTGCTTCAACAGGCAATGAACAAGATCATGAAAGTATGTCAATTGTCACTATTGAAGTTTTATGATGTACTTTTATTAGATTAAAATTTGTCAGATGCAGCTAACTAATTATTCTTCATGTTCTTGCAGTCAAATCCAGCCTTGTATGTCCTGAGGGAGCGAATAAGGAAAGGATTGCAGCTATATTCTTCCGAGCCTACAGAGCCATATTTGTCATCCCAAAACTATGGGGAGATCTTCAGCAATCAAATCATTTGGTTTGTTGATGATACCAATGTGTATCGTGTTACAATCCATAAGACATTTGAAGGAAATCTCACTACAAAACCAATCAATGGTGCTATCTTCATATTCAATCCAAGGACGGGGCAGCTATTCCTGAAGGTATGTCTTTGTTTCTGTGATATTTGGAAATTAGCCTTTCTTTCTCTCGCTCTCTTTTCTTTAACCTTTCTGTGGAGGTTTTGAACTTCATGTCATAAGTTCATATTTTGCAGGTTATCCACACAAGTGTGTGGGCTGGACAGAAGCGTCTTGGTCAGTTGGCTAAGTGGAAAACTGCAGAAGAAGTTGCTGCACTTGTGCGTTCTTTGCCAGTGGAAGAACAGCCAAAACAAATTATTGTGACTCGTAAGGGAATGTTGGATCCCTTAGAGGTTCATTTGCTCGATTTCCCCAACATAGTCATAAAAGGAAGTGAGCTGCAGCTTCCTTTCCAAGCTTGTTTGAAGATCGAGAAATTTGGTGATCTGATATTGAAGGCTACTGAACCACAGATGGTTCTTTTCAATATTTATGATGACTGGTTGAAGAGTATTTCATCATACACTGCATTCTCTCGGTTAATTTTGATTCTTCGTGCACTTCATGTGAACAATGAGAAGGCAAAGATGTTACTGAAGCCTGATAAAACTGTCATTACCGAGCCGCATCACATCTGGCCTTCTCTTTCTGATGATCAATGGATGAAGGTATGTCATTGTGCTTGTGCATTCCTTTTAAGTACATGTTGCTCTGCTAGCATCTTTTTGGTATCAAACACACACTAGTCAGAGTTGCTATGATAACCTATAGTCATCATCTGTTACCTTTATTGATCTGTCCAGAAATCTGAAAATGATTTTGATTTTTTGTACTCTGAAAGGTTAAGAAGGTCTATTCGAATGGAACTTTTGTAGATTTTGTTAACTTTTCATACTTATGCGTGCATCTGTCAATCTAATAATGTTTCTGAATACGATGAATGGTACAGGTTGAGGTTGCTCTAAGGGATCTCATATTGTCAGACTACGCAAAAAAGAACAATGTGAATACATCAGCCCTAACACAATCTGAGATCCGTGACATTATACTCGGAGCTGAGATCACCCCACCTTCTCAACAGAGACAGCAAATTGCAGAAATAGAAAAACAGGTGATGTTTTTCTTCTGGTGGTTTGAATTTTGATACACACAACACCCACACTTATATGTAGACTTGTTTTTGCCTGACTCAGTTATATACGTGGTTTTGTTACGAGTTAACTTATACTGTTCAATTTGCATTTTTAGGCCAAAGAAGCCAGTCAGCTGACAGCAGTCACAACAAGGACTACAAATGTGCATGGTGATGAACTCATTGTCACCACTACAAGTCCCTATGAGCAAAGTGCATTTGGCTCCAAAACTGATTGGCGTGTGAGAGCAATATCAGCTACAAATCTATATCTTCGTGTCAATCATATATATGTGAATTCAGAAGATATAAAGGTAGGGTTCTATTTTTTAATAAATATGATATTATGTAGCTTTTGTGCTTTGATCTTTTCTTATCCTTATTTTTTCATTGACATGGGAGCATGAATGGTGCTACAGGAAACGGGTTACACCTATATTATGCCTAAGAACATTTTGAAAAAGTTCATCTGCATTGCGGATCTGAGGACGCAAATAGCTGGTTACTTGTATGGCATAAGCCCACCCGACAACCCTCAGGTCAAGGAAATCCGCTGCATTGCAATGCCACCACAATGGGGGACCCACCAACAAGTTCATCTTCCATCAGCTCTTCCTGATCATGATTTCCTCAACGATTTGGAGCCTCTGGGATGGATGCACACGCAGCCAAATGAGCTTCCTCAGCTTTCTCCTCAGGTATTTTACCCAATCAATCTATTAATCCTTCTGATCTTTGATCGATTGTTACGCTTGTTTGTTTGGGGTTTGCCTTCCGTTATGGAGGAATGTGGTGGACAAGAAAATAACTCTTTTTGTTCTTTTTTTTTTTTCTCCCGCAGGATCTCACTTCTCATGCCAAGATTTTAGAGAACACCAAGCAATGGGATGGGGAGAAATGCATCATTTTAACCTGCAGTTTCACTCCAGGTTCCTGCTCTTTAACCGCATACAAACTTACTCCATCTGGTTATGAATGGGGACGTGTCAATAAAGACACAGGAAGCAATCCTCATGGATACCTTCCCACTCATTACGAGAAGGTTCAGATGCTCCTCAGTGACCGCTTCCTTGGTTTCTATATGGTGAGATTCGTTAATACCCTTAGTTCGGCCTATTTATGTTCCCACTAATATTGTGGGAGGGTCTCTACTTTTACTGGGCTAATTTGTTCATTTTCCTTTTTGTTTTTAGATTCCGGACACTGGTCCATGGAACTACAACTTCATGGGGGTGAAGCATACACCTAGCATGAAGTACGGCATCAAGCTTGGAACACCCAGGGAGTACTATCACGAGGACCACAGGCCTACCCATTACCTTGAGTTCAGCAACCTGGAGGAGGGTGACACGGTGGAAGGAGATCGCGATGACACTTTCACATAAACTTGTGTCGTAAGATGTAATGCAAAAGTGACACAGGAGTACTTTCGCATTCAGAAAAACCAATTCTGTTATATTCTAATGGAGCTTTTTGTTGTAACAATCCATTTATGGATGAAAATGCTTGTGCACCTGTAAAGCTACATGTGACGTTAGTATGTTCGTGTTTTCAGACGAGGCCTGTAAATATTTGATTTTGTAGCGAAGTACTAGTTTTGTTGCTGAAAGATGAAATTTCCTAGTCATACTCATAAGCTCTCCTCCTTGAAGTGGTAGAAAGTAGAATGCTTGTAGTTCAAGCATTCACAATTTTTTAGCAATGACTCGAGGATGCGGCCTGTAAATTACTTGAGTTACAAGTCTCGTAAAATTTGATGCGGCCTATAACTCAATTTACGGTTTAGGGTTTCGGGTGGTTTCTTTGTGTCTAAAATTTAAACCCATAAATCTGTTACCAAGATTACGGAACATGCGAAGGCGATTCAGCCGGTTCACGTCATTAATTTTTCTGTTGTATTTGTTCATTGCCTTGCTTTGTCTTTGGCCAGAATCAAATAGTCTGGCAAACATGACATTACAAAAAGTAACAATTTGACAATACAAAATTCTATTCACACGTAAATTGGCTACTTCTGGGTTGTATTTGCTATTCTAAGCTAATGCCTGACATCGGAACCGGAGAACATTCTTTCAGCATACGATGATGTGCTCGAACGGCTATGGTATCCAGAGAGGCGGTCGCTCATAACATCCTACATTGAAACCAAACAACAAAACAAAACGAAAAACTTTGAGAACATAGGCAGAAAAAGTTAAAACAATGAAAATCTTTCATGCTTATGTTATGTAACTTACTTGTCTTGGTGAGTATAGTGCATTACCACCTAGCCTGAAAGGATCCCTTCTCTCGTCCGCGAGTGCTCTCAATCTGCTTAGCTCCGGTAGCACAACCTTGCCAAGATCCGGTCTGTCTTTTCTCCTCATTTCAGCGCACTGTAAGGCTAGCTGCGCAAACTTTAATGCTTCCTCAACAGGCCAGTCGGGAACATCAGGGTCAAGCATCTCCGCGAAAGTCCCACTCTCAATAGCATCCTCAACTTTGAAAGTCAAACCCATTGGCGGCTGGGCAGTTATTAGTTGTAGAAGCATGACCCCCAGTGAGTAAACGTCAGATTTCACCCCAAGCATTCCGGTCTGCTGATACTCTGGGTCGATATAACAGAATGTTCCGGCCATTGATGTCACGTGATATTGAGTGACAGCATTGGCTACTGATGGAGGGACAAGCCTGGCCAAACCTACGTCACTAATCTTACTCACATAGTTATGGTCTAACAAGATGTTGCCGGGTTTTAGGTCACGGTGTACAACGGGCTCTGGCTTGGTCTGATGAAGAAACAAAAGTCCGGTGGCAATTTCTGCAGCAATTCTGAACCTTAGCTGCCAAGGAATCACCGGGGTGTGGCCTTTCCGGAAGAGACGGTCTTCTAAGCTACCATTGGCCATGTACTCATAGACCAGACAACCAAATTCTGGGCAGGCTCCAAGTAGGAGAACCATGTTTGGATGCCTAATGCAGCTCAATACTTCAACCTCTTGCTGGAATTGCGACCGCCCTTGGGCTGCATCCGGACGCAGAACTTTTATTGCTACCGGTGTGTGATCTAGTTCACCTCTGTAGACCGGACCGTAGCCTCCTTCTCCAATCTTATAGGCTTGTGAAAAATAATTCGTCGCCGCTTCAATATCTTCAATTGTGTATCTCCTGTACCTCAGATCGTACCCCTTTGATTCTAGCGACTTCTTTCCTTTAGCTTTTTCAAGAGCTTTCATTTTCGAGTTTTTCCGTCTTTCTGCTTCCAGTTCTGCAACCCTTTCAGCTGCTTGTGCTGCCTCAATCGCTACCTTACTTTTTGCTTTCTCCTTCCGTGCAAGTGCACATGCAGCTTCCTCAGCGAGTCGTGCTTCTTCTAATCTGTGCTTTCCGTTCAACTTCCACTGCTGAAGTTCCTTTTCCTGTGAAGAATTTTATGCTTGAATGTGCCTATCTTAAACAAAGTATATAGTCAAATAACATGTCGCATCCATACTCTATGTTTTGCTGAGATTGCCTCCTTGCAAGCCATGCTGTACATCTCCATTGTTTGCTTGAGCTCTAGCCTGAGCCTCCTCATCTCAGCTTCCATGTCATCCTATTATTTTCGAGGCAAACTAAGTATATCAATATTTTGAACTTTTCTGGATGAATCGTATGTTATTGTACTCAACGCATTTCTTTATGCACTGTGTCGTGAAAAACATTCGCAAATAGTTGGGGGCATGCTCCAAAGCTTGTAGTTGGTGGTGTTTTCAAGTTTACTATGCTGGGAACAATGTCTTACCCTGTTTTGTGATGACCATGACCTTCCACTTTCAAATGAGGATGATGAAAAACCATTCGGCGCTGATGTCATGTCAATGAACTTGGTTCCGGAGTAAGATGACAAAGAGCTTCTGCTGTCCAACTCTGAGCCGCTTGAACTTTGATGGGTCATTTTCGACGGCGTGCTATCATAATTTAAGATGCGATCCATGGTTTGCACTTCGCTGCTCACAGGCGGTAAATCAATGTCAGGCAAGGGCTCATATGATTTCTTCACTATAGGTGTTGCTCTTGTTAATGCTGGCCTGTATATTTTTATCAGAGGTTAATTCTCACCGTCTTAAGTTTTAACACATTTGGTCGAAAATTTACGTAGAGACTACTTGGAGAAAGCAAGATTAAAATCGAGAGTTCGAACTCAAACATGGTGGAAGAAAATGTTGCTGATCTAAACCTCGAGTAATGCTAACACTAGAGGGATCACATTTTCGGACCACAGTGTGGATCGCATCTCTAATGGTGGTACCGTTGACCCATAATTAGGCGGGTCTCGTCTCTACTAGTAACTTGGATTACAAGTAGTTCAAAAATGTGGTAAGACGTAGTTTCACTGGATCAGTATCAGAGCTTACCTGAACTTGTTCTTCAGCGCGCTCTCCGGTTCTGTGCCAATTAAAGAAAACTCAGTAACCAATGACCAAAACTAACCAATCTACTTGTGTGGTGAGGAATAAACATGCATACATTGATGTTAGAGCTACAGAAACAAACCTCTGGAGTGCTGGTGGAGCCTCATGTGTTGCGAATTTCTCGAACCATTTGAGGGTAGTTCGGCGGTAGCTGGTCGGCAATGCGTGATCTTTCCTTTGCCAATGACATACACAGTGCAAAAGTCTGGTGCCCCTTTTGACACAGTGCTTGGGATGTCTTTCGCTTTGAATCTTTTTGTAAAAACAACAAGATTGACGTTAGGATTCTAATTAACTAAGTAATTAAGGTATATATATGCATACATCTTCGTATACAGAAATACTCTGTGCATAAAAAATTCACATCAAAAGCACCTGAAGAAGCCAAAGCTGTTTTTGGATGGTGCACCAAGCACCAAAACTTGAATAGAATTAGCGGCAACATAGTTGATGAGTGCTTTTGCTATATCAGCATCCTCCACTATCACTTCATTGCTTTTAATCTGTAACAAATCAATACAATTAAATAGACATGATAAATTAATTGAATTTGACTAATGACCAAATCATATATCATAAGGAGAATGTAATTTTCTGAAACAAGAATAAAATGATGGTTGTATTAACTAATTAGTTAAAAAAAAGGCAATTCCAAGCCAACAAGCTCCCGGATTTGCGAGGGTGAAGAACGTCTATAGTATGTAGGCTTACTATTGATTTGTAAAGAAACTGTTTTCACCCTTGGAAGTTTCGAACCTGTGATCTTTCGGATACAAAATTAACTAATTAATTAATCAATTAAAAGGGGAAAATAGCAAATGGAGGACTCACAGCTTTTTTGGTGCAGAAGCAACGGAATGGGAGGAACAAGTCTTTGGCTTGATCTTCATTTTGATTTTTGTTCACCTCTGTCAATTGCCCACCTGCAACTAAAAAGATATCAGGGGAAAAAAAACAGAAGGAAAATGGGGAAATTTTCAATATTTTATATATTTAAGAAATAAAATGGGGGAATTTACTATTTAGCTAGAAAGCATTGGGAGCAAATGTAGGTAATCATAGACTCATACTAGTTTTTATTAGGTCGCATTTTTAATCGTTTGAGAAGGAGATTTGAACTTGAGATATTTTTCAACATTATGAAAAGAATGTGTCTCACAAGTCACAAGGTGTACATTTATTATTGATATTGTGCTAAGGGTAATGCAAGGAGACCAAAATTTTAAATCAAATTTTGCAAATCAAATAATGTGAATATTGTTAATTTGATTATTATTTAAACGTTGATAAATGTGCTTATTTTTATCTATGCATCATGTGGTTTGCAAAATTGGTCTAAAAATTTGATTTCCCTAGCATTATCCTTATGCCAATGTACATAAAGTCATAACCTTAAAACGACATGGTATAAGATCTGATTTTTGTAAAAACATTAACCATGGGCTCGTTTAGAAGTACTTTTAAAATAACTGAAAACAATTTTGTTGAAAATGTTTTTAAAATCAATTCTTAATAAAAATTCAAGTGGATCATGGAAAAACACTTAAAGTGCTTTTAGAACTCAAGATCACTTTTACCAAAAACGTTTTCAGTCATTTTAAAAGTACTTCCAAACCATCCACGTACACCATTCATTCATTCATTCTTGAGAGAGAGAGAGAGAGAGAGAGAGAGAGAGAGAGAGAGAGAGAGTTGGTATGGTGCTTACTTTGGGTCGAAGTTAGGGGAGACGAAGGTTGTTTAACATGAACATGGAGCAAAGTGAGAGGTTGTCCAGGCTTGGTAAAAAGATGATCAGCAATCCATTTGATTGCATACTCACTTGCTTTATCCTTGTCTATTGCCAATGCCACTGCCACCTCTCTCTTCTCTGAACCTTCCCTTCTCGATGCTCTCATCCCCATCCTCCTCTCTCCTCTCTCAAGCACTTCCCAACAACAAACTTCAACAAAACAAAAACTGAAACCAATTAGCTGCAGATATCGCAATCGTCAAGAATCCATCTCTTCGCTCCGCAAAAACTCAGATAAAAACTGACAAAACCGACAACGGAAATCTGTGTTTCGCTCTATCTGAGTCCTGTAGAGGCCAGGAGGGATCCAAACCATTTTCCTTTTTCTTCTTTTATTTCTTCTTGTTTCTGTGCGTGGGAGAGAGATGGTTGGTTACTTCTGTTGAGATAATGAAACAGAAGAGAGTTTGTTAATTCTGTTAACGTATAAATTAATGTGTATGCATGGAGAATTACCAGTGCTAATCCCTTATTTAACCATTTTTATCGTGATTGTTGAGCTGACAGAGAGAGTCTTGCCAGCTTTTTTGAATTAATTCTCAAATAGGCAAACACGGTGCAATATTAAGGAGTTTGCCACTATTTTCGCATTGTTGTTGAGCTGTTGTTTCATAATTTTCAGGGGAGGAGCCAGAAAATATTTGGTTGGAACTTTCGAGTTAAGATATATGCGTGTATATATACGAAAATCAAAATTTAAGATAAAAGATGATTAGCTTTTGAGGGAGCGTAAAATGATGGGGGAAGATCGACGGCCATAACCTAAATCTCATGAAGACACCCCCTAATTGTGAAAGAATCCCAAACCATAATTATGGTGTAATTTTAGCCTTTTGATATCACTTCTCGAATAAAGATAAAATTTACGCAACTTATCTCCCTATCAACCCCATTTTTCATCCCATCAAACTTTTTTATTTATTTTAAATATTCTCATTTGTAAGTTGTGTTCGGGAAGAGCTATTGTTGATAGTTGGCCTTTATGGTAAGTAGGAAGATTGAAAAGCGGTAGCTTTCCATGCATGGAATATTATCGGTCTGAGTCCGCTTATCTCTCGCTTGCTAAGCTGATAAAAAGCTATGGATAACACCTAATTTTTCGATTCATTTGGATATATGTTATGATTCATAAACATTGATTCAATCATTCTATTTAGTTAAGCATACTACATTGACATTAAAACTCGCCAACTAAAAGATTCGATTATAAAACCTCTCAGTTTACAAGTTGTGATATTAAAGTAAAGTAAAAAACTCGTTTGAATACAAGTTGTTGCGAACAAACAAACAAAAGTACAATCTGATCCCAAATAAAACAAAAATAAAAAAGCAATAAAAATTGAAGATCCACCATAAAGAGAGGGAAAATCGAACCGTTGGCGTTGGTCGGTTGGGACTTGGGAGTCCACCCCCACACTCTTTCTCAAAAGACACGCGCTGCCATGCCACACCCGAAACCAATCCCTCTTCCCCAAATCCCGTAACGGTCTCTCCGTCTTCCTCTTTCTTCTCTGCAACTCTCACTCATCACTCTAAACCCCAACAAACCATTAGCCACAGTGCATTCAATTTCTGTAGCAGACAGCACGATTTGAATTTCAACTTTCTACTGTGATCGATTCCGAATTTTCCATAATTTTTTTGAATTTTTTTTGAAATTTGGTTCTGATCAGGCTTTTAAACTTTGCAAACGGCAGCTGTGAGCTCAAATTTAAAGTATTTGATCATATATATATATATATATTTGTAATGATGCGAAGGAAAAATGGTAGTGGTGGCACTGGTACTAGTACAACGATGAGGGTTTTGAATCTGATCGAGAGGCGGTGTTTGGCACCGCTCAAGCGAAACGACGACCTTCGCGAAAACGGCATGCGGATTTCCTCCCGCCACAGCTCGTACAAGAAGCTCGCTCAGCTTCCGCTCCTCAAGCTCTCCGTTCTCAAGCTCGACGGCTCTGTTTTCGGTAATTAATTCACTTCAAATTTACCTCCATTTTTCGTTTTGACTTTCTCTTTAGGTTCTGCTTTTCGAATTGGTGAATAATTGTGCTTTTGGAAAAGCTATCCTGGATAGAAAATGCCTTTATATGAAATTATAGAAAATCTGCTTTTTTGGAAAGCTAGTTTGGTTATAGTGGTGCTGCTTTTTAGAATCTGATCATATGCTAAAATTACTACCCTAAATGGCTTTTTTCCTAATTTTTCTGTTTCTGTAAAATTTAATTTTATCAAAATTATTGGGGTCCCATGTAAATTTCAGTAGTGAATTTGAATTGTGCAGAAATTCAGGTTGGGAGGACATGCTACAATAGCAGAGCTCAAACAAGCAGTAGAAGATTTCTTTGGTCCCTCCCAAGACAAGATTCCATGGTAAATCCCTTGCCTTGCAAAATTGACATAAATGAAAAACTTGTGTTTTAATTTAAGATTGTTTGATTTTGTGCTCTCAGGTCACTGGTTTGGGGGCATTTCTGCTTGTGTCATGTTGGTCAGAAGTTGATTAATGACAGTGCGTACATTCGGAATTTCGGAATTAAGGACGGTGATCAAGTCTGTGTCTCTTTTCCCTTCAAGTATCAAATTTGTAGTATCTCTGTTTTTCCTGTGCTTTGATTTTACAAAAACTTATCACTCATCGAAATGGATAGTATGGCAGCTCCCTTTTGTTCAAACTCCGAAACCCAACTCTCAACGTTGCGAGAAACAGTTGTGTCTAACATATTTATCTGAACATATACGGTAAAATTAAGTTGGAACACATATAATGAGCGACTTGTATACCATTCCATCTTTAACTTGGTTTTTCTGTAGAACTTTAGTTATGTAAAATATGAAATAAAAGAACCCTTAAATGGGATTGGGATGCATGTTGACATGCTGTACAGGAGATTAATTTGAATTTATGCTTCTAAATGAATTACAATGATTTAAGCAGGCATGGGAGTTAATTTTATGTGGTGGCATTAGGTGAAAAGCCCGTAGCATACATGTTGTATGTTTGGTTTACAGTTCAGCTCTTTTATATCTCATCTGTTTATGCTCTCATTGAATGAAGAGAAATGTTTAGTGTTGCTATTTTTGTGCATACCGTCCAAATTTGTTAACTTATTATCACGCTGTAGTGAAATTATTTCACCTTAGCCAACTGATTTCATTTATGTTTAATGAACTCCCAAATTGTCGTCTCGTCTCCCTCATCCTCATTAGAATTTCTATAACAGCCTTCAATCTGGCTAATCTTTTTTAGTTTCATCATTAGTCTTCACTATGTTGTATTTCTGGAAGTGATTAGGATTTCTGTTGTTGCCTTGCTCAGTTTAGTTATCTGAAATCTCTTGTAAGAATATAGGCAATTTTTGTATAAGTGGGGGGCTTTCGTATTCAAGTATTAGACTGTGCCGTTGCTGTGTTTCTTGCTTTTCCTGACAGCTGATATAGAAGCTCCATGAGTGCATATATTCCTGATGTTTATTTCTGGCGCATGCAGCTTGAATTCATTAGGCATATGTCCATCAGCAACTCACCATTGAAAAAAGGGTCGAAGAATGAGAGTGTTCCATACAAACAGCAACCTATGTAAGAATCGTTCATACTTTTCCTTGTGATTTAATTTGGTAGGACGTCAGGCTCAAAGCTGCACTGCAGTAAGCCTATTTACCTGTGCCTTATGGGTTGCTTACTGTTTACCTAAAGTTGGAAGCTTCTGAGGGAAACGGTGAAACTAAAATAGGCAGAGCTTTCGGCACATAGTTCTCGTACTTTCCATTTCTTTATAGTTGATTCATGTATATTTAACTGAGATAGGGAACTTAAGCATGGATATTGACTTCAGGTTGACGTACAGGCCAAGTTACTATCCCAATGAAGATCATCTGGAGGCAGGTCATGTGCCTGAATTCGTGCACGAGGACGAAGAAAATTGTGGAGTGGAGGTTAATGGCAGCAATGCAGCAATACAGGAGGACAACTCCAATTACTATCCCAATGTAGAAGATCTGGAGGCAGGTCCAGTGCCCGAATTCAAGGCAGTTCACTTCTTGAAAGGGTGGCTCTCATACTCGAAGGTCATCGGGGGATTCAAAAAAGGGATCCGAAGGCAGGAATCGTCCATCGAAATTCAGCCTACTTTCCTTAGGAAGCCGATGTAGAATGACTTGTTGTCTCACATTTTGTGTGTTGTGAAGCTGTTGCATGCTAAGGCCTCAAGATGTTCCACAAGTTCAGCACTAAGTTTATTGTAAATGGTAGTTGGGTTCTCTCGATATATTTTGACTCCTCCATTGTACGTCTCTCAACACGCCCTTTCACACGGGCACTACTCGAACAAAACATATAAATAAGGTATTTGACAGATTAAACACTCGCCACAAAAAGGGGATGTGTTCGAATTAAATATTTGGCTACTCACTTATGAGTAAGAATACATACTCGAATTTCTTCGTAACCGATGCACATAATTTCCTACTTATCATCAATGAATTGATACCGGTTATATTATATGAACTTGTTTGACAAGTGTTTTTAAACAACTGAAAGATGTTTTAGGTAAAATATTTTTGGAACCAAACCATAATAAAAATGTAAGTTAATTCTGCACTTAAAGTGCTTCCAGCAAGAAGTACATAACATACACTTTTATCAAGAAGCACTTATAATGCTTTTGAAATTCAAAAAAAATTCTCTAAAAACTTTTTCAATCGTTCAAAAGTAGTTATCAACCCTAAATCATTTCCTTACTAAAAATAAAACGTCAATCTCCGACCGATGTGAGACTCTTAACGATCCGAAACCAGTCACCAAAATTTGTGAGCCCGACAATTAAAATCTTCTTCAACCTATCGGGTGGTCCACGATTTTGGATAATTGATCCAGTTTCTAACGCGAGGCACGCTGCTTTCAAGCCACGTGTCTCGATAGACAGCTTTCGCTTCTGAAATTTTGATGACGTGGCAAAAGATTAGGCAGGCCGCACCGAAGATACCGTATCCACTCTCGTAACGATTCCAATTTTGTTTTCTTCTGCTGCATCCCTCTTCAACTGATTGCACATTATCAGAAAATCTAATTTAATTTTTTCCTTTTATAAAAAAGAAGAGTGTCGTTGTGGGACGTCACAGAGTCTCTCTCCCCAACCAGTAAGTTTTGTGTTTTTCTGTACGTGTTTGGTTGCCGAGAAAATTTGGGAAAATAAGGAGGAAAATAAACTGTTTATTCGCTTTTACTCTCACTAGCTTTGTTGAATTAAACAACAGAAGATATATGAAAACAGTGTTTATACTTTATACAATAATCGTGGTTAATCCAGGTGATTTTTTAATATATATTTCCATTTTTGATGTGTTGTGTGGATGCATAGCTGTAAAGATTTACTGTTTTCTATTTGTATCAGAACTGAGTGATATGAATTTTGGATGAGTTTTGAATCTAATTCGTTGCAATCCCACTTGAATTGTGAATAATTAGCGAATTTAATTCGATTTTTTGATGATAATTGTGATTAATTTGATTTAGGCAGTAAGTTGGTTGAAAGCTTTAAACTGCTGAAATTATGACCTTTGATGTGTCTTGGGGTTAATTCTAACCCCTTGATCGGCAAATTTGTATCAACGGGAGGGGATTCGAACTTGGGATCCCTTCCATTCCAATATTGGGAAGAGAAGTACCGCTAGACGTAGACGTAGAGCTAGTTCATTGCATCATCTAATTACTTGTCCATTTGTCTAGCTCGTATGATCGTGCCTGTTGTAGTAACTTTTTGTTCAGTTGTCTCCAATTGATTTTCGACCTAGTGATTATGAAGTTCCAATTATAGGCTTCGCAGGAATCACGAATTATGTTAAAGGAATATTGATTCTTGCTACTGCCAAAAGCCCTTGTGAAAATTCCCAACTCGTTATTGTTACTTTCTCTTTCTGTAGTTAGGGTCTTGACCATGTTCTTCGATATAGACGTATTAGGGATGCGCGAATTATTGACTTGAGCTTGTTTTTTGAGATATATATTTATAGCAGGGAAAATGGATGAGCAAATGGGAAAAGCAAAGCCGGCAGTCTCTTTTGAGTATGAGCTCTTTGAGGGAGATCCGGACCACCTAAGAACTGTAGTGGCTACACTCACGCCAACGCTTACTCCTACTAATCCATGGATCAGCCCTGATTCGTTGAACTTCAAATACCGAATTGGGCGAGGCCCCTTTGGTGATGTTTGGTTAGCAACTCATCATCAGTCTGCAGATGATTATGATGAGTATCATGAGGTAGCTGTTAAGATGCTGCATCCTTTGAAGGAGGAAGACACTGAGAAGTTTGTGCATAAGGTTGAAAGGTTATTTTTCAAGTTCCGCAGAGTCTATGGCCTTTGTTGGCTTCACGGCATCTCAGTTATTGATGGGAAGGTGACTGCCTGGAAAATAATTTTGGATTATTTGTTGTTTTGATTTTGAAAATACTCGTTTGTGTTGATTATCCTGTTTATTTACCTTGCATAACTCTAGTATGGATATATCTTGATTAGTGCTCATTCTAATGCTGTGGTAGGTCTGCATTGCTATGAAATTTTATGAGGGATCAATTGGTGATCGAGTTGCTCGGATGAAGGGCGGAAAGCTTCAACTTTCTGATGTTTTAAGGTTATGTTATCGGGAACATATATCTTCCTTCGTGATGCATAAAAGTGTTGTTACTGACCCAATAATGCTAATGTTTACAGGTATGGGATTGAGTTGGCGAAAGGAATTTTAGACTTGCACTCACTTGGGATTCTGGTGCTAAACCTGAAACCTTCCAACTTCCTTTTAGATGAACATGACCAGGCGGTCCTTGGAGATTTTGGGATTCCATATCTACTTCTTGGGATTTCATTGTCTAATTCAGATATGGCTCTCAGACTTGGAACCCCAAACTACATGGCTCCCGAACAGTGGGAACCAGAAGTGAGGGGCCCTGTATCCTTAGAAACGGATGCCTGGGGTTTTGGATGTTGCTTTGTGGAGATGTTGACTGGCGTTCAACCATGGTTTGGGAGGTCAATTGAAGAGATATATCATTCAGTTGTGATAAAGCAAGAAAAACCACCAGTTCCAAGCGGCTTGCCTCCTGCAGTTGAGAATGTTATAAGTGGTTGCTTTGAGTATGACTTCCGCAATCGGCCTTCAATGGATGATATAATACATGCTTTTGAAAGGTATCCACTCTCATTTATCTACTGATCTCACTTTACAAACCTTTTCTCGTCAACTTAACAACCTGGAGACACAAAATCTACTTTCCCTGTGTAGTCGACTGTGCACAGCCTAAGTTTCCAGCCTTGTAGCCATGCCAAAACCTACAGTCTTCTTATACATCGTATAACCCCAGCCTGAAATTTTCCCTAGTCTTGAGCTTCATCCATGGAGTTTACTGCTACTTTTACCAGTGAGCTATCAGTGAACCCATTGATACCAGTTACATTCTTTTGTTGCTGTCAAGAAGTTGCTGCTGCTTCAGATTTCTGCGGAACCCATCGTTGTATTTTATTTTTGTTACACACTACAAACCTTGAATCCATTTTTAATGAACAGAACCCTAAGGAGCTGTTGCATTACAGACTTCTTTTTCATGCCCTATTAATTACTGTTTCTGGTTCAAGGTGGTGCTTAATCGGATTTTTACCTTTGATTCCTTGTTGGCCTCTTCTGTACCCAAAATGAGAATTCAGCATTTTGATCATCCTGCCTTTTCTTTTATTGTCCTATGCTTTTTTTTTGGTTGAACAAAATATTGTTCTGTGCTGATTATTTGCAATTGAACATGCAGCTCACAGAATGATGTTCAAAGTGAAGGCGAGTGGCTTGGTTTAGGGAGCAGTGCAGTTGCTGGAAAACATAATAGCGGTGGTTATACTACATGGTATCTCTCAAAAGATCATCTTCAGGTTGGAGATATAGTTCGCTCAAGAAAGCCCCTAAATGCACGCAAGCCTCAAGCTATGGATATCCCTGAAGGAACTGTCGCTGGTCTGGAGACTGATTCCGATAGAGAAGGTTTTGCCCTGGTGAAGATCCCCGGAGTGCGCAACCCTGTAAGAGTGCTGGTGTCAACAGTGGAGAGAGTCACATCTGGCTTAGCAGTGGGTGATTGGGTGCGCTTGAAGGGTGAAGGCAGGAGGCACTCTCCTGTTGGAGTTCTTCATTCGATACAGCGTGATGGTAGTGTTGCAGTTGGATTTATTGGGTTAGAGACTCTATGGAGAGGGAAGTCATCTGACCTTCAAATGACAGATTCATATTTTGTCGGAGACTTTGTGAGGCTGAAGGCTAGTGTGTTCTCTCCTAGATTTGAGTGGCCTCGTAAGAATGGAGGAGCATGGGCATCTGGAAGGATCTCACAAGTCCTTTCGAATGGCTGTCTGGTTGTGAGGTTTCCCGGAAGATTTGTGCTTGGAGATGAATCTAATAGCTTCTTGGCAGATCCAGCTGAAGTAGAACTAGTATCCTTTGATACTTGTCCTGGAGTGGTCGGAAAATATCAACATATTGAGGATTTTCACTGGGCAGTGAGGCCTCTTGCTGTTGCGTTTGGCCTATTTACAGCCATGAAGGTGAGCTTATTTGTTGGACAGAATGTAGGTGCAAAGCTGAAGGGTCGAAGATCAACACGGAAGGATGGGAATAACCAAGATGGTCAGAGTGGTGGCGGTGCAGGTTGGATTCCTCCACCAGTTGCGAATATTCTTTTCAAAGAAAGCGTTCCTACTGCAGGCGCTAGGTAGTTTACCGGTGTCATGTGGCCGTGGTACGTTTGCTATACCTATCCGGTCAAGAAATGAAGTATGAAACGAGGCCAAATGTACCTAGCGCCAGCGAAAATGGATGGTCCGAATCTGGTTAGGCCGAAAACAAAAATAATCTGTGTAATTAGAAGACTGATGATATATGTGTGTGTGTATATATAAATCTGCAGTTGCTACTCTGCTTGCAATGTAAATATTTCTGTGTATATATAAATCTGCAGTTGCTACTCCTCCACTCACCTCTATCTGCGGATCCTGTTTCTTTTTTTCCTGCTCTTTCCGTACAAATCAACGAGGTGGCGGTTAGAAATCGGCTCGCAACAAGTTCAGATCTAACAAGTTTGGTCGATACGCAAAAGGGTAATTATGGTTTTATGTTTTTTAAATTATTTTTCATAGCTTGAATGAAATGAATAAGGCTAAGGAGCCTATCAAGGAAGGGCTTTCTGCTTACCTGAGAGTGGTTCCCTTCAAAACTAAATGTTTTCAAATTATTACATGTGGTTGCGCATGACTGTTTGTCTTTGAGGAGACTTAAAATTATATTGATATCTCGAGACCATTGGTGATTTATTTTCACCACATGGTCATCATACACATCACAGCTAGCTACGGTCGTACGTTATTTGCAGGTACTTAGTTTTCTAGCAGACGCTAATCATTGATCAGGTAAATGGTGCTTCACCTGCTTGCTATATGTTTGGATTACATCGAATATTTTGACTCATATAACTTTCTTTGATAGGACGAGCGATTTGATGTGAACTTGACTACTATTATTGTTGAATTATATGTATGTAGTTTTTACTTGTATATGTGATTTCAAAAGGGGGTTAATGTATTCGAATGATTTTAACTAGATAAACTTTGATCCGCTCATGTTTTGTTTTTTGACCCCTCAAGACGTAACGAGAATAAGGAGAACCCCAGAGTTGATGAGTGGGTGTGGCAGTGAGACATTCATCTTTTGGACTTTGGGTGATGATTCATTTACTACAATTTATTTTAGTTTTTAATAATCGCATAATCAAACTTTCGATTATGTAAAGCATTGACATTTTATATGTTTACTGTTGTGTGAAACTTCTAACTGCTCTGATGTGATATGATAATAATAGGGTTTAATCCTTGAACATGTGTCTCAAAGTAGGGAGGTGGATTAGGCAACTTTGTAGCAGCTTCTATTTTATTAATAATGAAAGTTCTGTTTCAAATTCCCTCACATTGTAATTATCTTACTATGGCCTTCGTTGTCAAGTTGGCTTGTGATGTCTTTCGATAGGGTCACATGGTCAATTTAGTAGTGGTCATCACATCTTGGGCTCATTACATGTGTTATTGGGGTTAGGATGTATCACCATACATTCTTCCGTTTGTTTTGAAACTTTCATTTGCTACTTGTGACTGACTTGACGAGATGACTTCATCAACTGTTTCTACATTTTCTTGAAGATCTAATGCACCATCCATTTTAGTATTTACACTCAAGGGGGACTGTTATGAATATACTTTTAACTGTTGTGTGATTATGTAAATCGTTATTAGAATGTATTTAGGATACTAGAAGATTTTTTTTCCTCTAGGATTGTATTACTTGAAAGGCAATACTATAAATTAAGGGCACTGATGAATATCACACACAATTCCTCAAGCCTATTGGCTATTGTCCACCTTTCTTTCTCCCCTTTGCCGTGCACCATCTCCCTCTCTCCTCAATTAATTATAGTGAAAATTGTAACAATATTCCATTAACTAAAAATCCATGATCATTGGTTCCTTAACTCATCAAAACGTGCGCTTGTAGTCCTTTACGTTAACTCCGTCAGAATTTTGTCAAAATGAGTTATGTTGGAAGGTCCATTACTACAATTGGGCTAAAGTTGAGGGACCATTGCTTCAATTGAGTTAAAATTGAGGGACCACTTCTCTAGTTGAGTTAAAGTTGAGGGACCATTGCTACAATTTATCTAATTTGATTTTCCATATTTGCCCTTCCATTCAGCCTCATGTGCATGAACTGCGACTCAATTTGACGGAATTTCTAACGGAATTGAAAAAAATGACCATAGATGCATGTTTTACGGAGTTAAGAGGCTAATGGTCATGAATTTTTAGTTGATGGACCATTACTTTAATTAAGTTAAAATTGATGGACTACTGCTACAATTTCATCTTAATTATAAGGCCACAACACCACCTTTATTTTTTAGGCTTATTATATTATCACCCCACATATTGTTGAATAAACCCTACATACTATATACACCCCACATTTGATTTTTTAATTAAAATTATCTTAATACACTCCATGTACTTCCCTATATTACCCTCACACCCCACATCTTCAACATACACATTACATTTTCTACATACATCCCACATTTTCTATACACCCCACACTTTTCAAATCTTATAGCACTCCTTTTTAAATGTCTTATGATTTTGTTTTTCGTTCTACCCAATTGTTTTTCGTTCATTTTTAAACTGCTTAGTTGGCTCATTGAATTGTGACTCGAGTTTACTGCTTTACCATTCGAATCACGCTCTATCATCTTAGAAATTAAACGTCTTATGATTTTGTTTTTTCCATTCTACTCTGTTGTTCTGGCAAGGGCTTGCTTGTGTAGCCTATTGATTTCATTGGAATTCTGATACATGTGAACTCTTAAGTTGTGCTTTGCTTTAGTATCTTAAGAAGCAATATTTAGCCTGTGTAATGAACCCAAATGCTCTTACGAATTTGTAGGCATTTTTCATATGAAAAATTATGATTGGCTAAGAATCATACAACTCAAGATCAACATTAGTCTTATGCTTTAATTAGTAAAGAGGGGCGTTAGTCTTATGTTTTAATCAATAAAGCTTTTAAATTTAACAAGAATGGCGATTGGGATTTAATCAATAAAGCAATTGGGATTTGATGAAAACGGAGAAGCTTAAATAATCCAACAAAAGTAGGCTAAAATAATTATTGATGTCGATGAAATCACTAAAAGAATGAAAAATATGAAGTCCTATCTCATGTGAAGCTTCCGAACATCGATTTCGTGTTCCATTCATCAAATTTTTTTTTTCTATCAACGTATTTGTAGTTTCATTGGTTAGGGTTTTATTCAACAATAGAGGATGAAATGAGTTTTGATAGTTGAAGAAAATAAATAATACGTTAAAAGTGATTTGGTTTTTTTTTTTTTTTTAATACCTAATAAGGTTAAAAGTGTGGTTGCCTAGTAGGATACATAAGTCATTTAATATTAAAATTTAATATAGATTCAACATTAGGTCAAGTAGCCAAAATAGTCTCTGAGATTTGCATAACACATCACTTTGGTCCCTGAGATTAAAAATCAATAGAAATGGTCCTTGAGATTGTTCACCATCCATCATTTTGGTCATTCGTTCCGTTAAGTGTCTCAGAGCTCTTGGCTGGAAGTTTGGGCAATTTTCAAAGCTTCGTAACTTAATTGTTTCTTAACCAAATTCGACCCATAATATATCAAAATGAAGATAGAAAAGTGTAGAACAGGATTATACCTATTTGGAAGCCCAATGGTTGCTGGAGATGGCTGGAAAACAGCCTCAAAGTTGACTGGTCCGCGGAAAAACTAGAAAACTCGCCGCAAACTAGGTAAAATTTAAACGTTCATAACTTTTTCAATACTCAACAAAATAGAGTGATTCACAAACAAAATCATACTTCTCGACGATACGAAGAGAATAGTACCTTTCTCGAAGGCTAACTCGTCGTGGTTTGGTTGGAAAACGGCTCGAAAGTGGCTAACTCAAAAATGAGTTAGCAATTTTCGAGCCGTTTTCCGGCCAAATCACGATGATTTAACCATAAAGAAGGTACCATTCTCTTTTTCTAGTTAAGAAGTATGATTTTTGTTTTTGAATCACTCGATTTTGTTGAGTATTGAAGAAGTTATGAACGTTTGAAGTTTACCCAATTTCCAGCGAGTTTTCCATTTTTCTAGCGGACCAGTCAACTTTGAGGCTATTTACGGTCATCTCCAGATAACCATTGGGCTTCCAAATGATATAATCTTGTTTTACACTTTCCTATGTTCATTTTGATATATTATGGGTCGAATTTGGTTAAGAAACGATTGAGTTACGAAGCTTTGAAAATTGCCTAAACTTCCGGCCAAGAGCTCTATGACACTTAATAGAGTTTTTAATGGAATGACCAAAATGATGGATGGTGGACAATCTCAGAGGCTATTTTTATTGATTTTCAATCTCAGGGACCAAAATAATGTGTTATGCAAATCTCATGGACCATTTTGGCTATTTAGCCTTCAACATTATGTGAAGTGCTAATATAAAAGGCCTTATTTTATTCAGTTTTTTTTTTGTTTTACAAATCCACTTTGCGCTCTCTCTCTCCTCTCCTTTCCGTGCCCATCTCTTTCGCTACCAAAGACCAAACCCTAAACCAAACCGCTGCCATCTTTTTCCCCCTTCCCTGCGATCATGATCCAGGAACCAAGAACGAGCCTTGTATGGAAGAAACTTGAACCCATGAAGCTAACCACCCATGGTCCCCCGCCCTCTCTTGGGATGAACATTGATCTCAGCAACCAGGAAGCAGGAACCAGCCAAGGCGACCTGCCCTCATTGGACGATCGCGACTTTCAAGATTACGACGAACTTGACGCCTATTTGCCCTACTTGCCAAATTACGATGCTATTGATGAGGAAGAATTCGATTTCGGAGAGGACCACATCAGTATTGTCCATGAGTCAATTATTAATGCTCAGATGGCTGGTATTGTGAAATCTCATTTCCAGATTTCACTGTTATAATCTATGTATTTGTATTATTGAGATTTTATATTATTTTTTGATAATTTATATTAGTTTATTTGAAATTAGATTTCAATTAAACTAGTTATGAAGAGTGAATTTTGGAAAATTATTATTTACTCGTTGACCTTTTGAGGTCACAAGTAACGTTTTCGAATAGGTCTCAAAGCCACGAGCGCATAGGCAAAAGCCGTTGGCGAGTCCGAATTATATCGGTATAGTTACAGACATTTGAAGTTATGAAACTATAGATTGTGAGAATTATTTTAATTTCCACTTAGGGGTAAAAAGGCCCAAACACTTTTTGGGATGAAAGGACCGGCCATTATAAATGGAAATAGGCAAAAATTAGATGGGGGGATTTGTTTCCATTCGGCTAACTGGGCACCACAACACCACATCTTTAGCCAGTCCAAACTCATCCATCTTCCACCATATTTTCAGGTAATCTTCAACCATCCCACACCTGCCACATCTTCCATCACCTTCCATCTTCCATCTCCACCAAAAATCAAGGGTTTTAAGGCCTAATTTGGGTAGAACTCCACATGAGAAACCGGGGGTTCTCGACGACGAATTGTCGTTCCGGAAAGTATCACCATTCACCATCACCCTTAATCAACTTCCCTTGGACCCAGGAACTTGACCTAACAGGTTGTAGGGGCGTTGGAACACCGAGGAAGTCGAATGGAAGAACACCCACCTTAGGGTTTCCCGCGGTTCGTGGCCAGTTTAAAGTGTTTTCCGGCCAAATTGGCCTTGGCCGCAGGTATAAAGTTTACTCTACTTGATGAGATCTTCATTTTTGTAAAATTTGAGAATTTTTGGAAAAAGTCGAATTTTCCGATATGGAACATTCAATTTATGAAATGCTATTGGTTGAGTATATTTTCGATAAGGTTCGCCACTTGAATATTCTAACAATTGAGAATCTTACCATTGAATTGACACCAAATTTAGTATGCTATTGTAGATATGGTTTACGGACCTTAAGGAATTACTAGTGAAAATCTAGTGGGCCTATATTGGTTAGATAGCGATTTGAATATATGAAATATGATTATTATCTTAAATTTTTATATTGGTATTATTTGTGAATATGAATTGGTCTTATAATTATGATTTCTATTGAAATGTGAATTTTATATATTTAGTCATAGACCTATACTAATTAACTATGATTTGGCTTGTGTATTGTTGATGTTTGTGATATATATGTGTTTAATTAACTTTTTGGGTAAAGTACAAAAAACTATCTCAACTATTGGTGTCATGACACTTTCATACCTCATCTTTTAAAATTGACAATGTCATACCTCATCTTTAGAATTTGGTCTAATGTTATATCTTCCGTTATTTGACCGTTTACTTTTCAGTTAAATGCTGACGTGGCCGTTTACTTTTCAGTTAAATACTGATGTGGCTTGATTCGGGGTCCACTTTCTATTAAAAAATCATTAAAATATTATTAAAAACTAAAAAAAAAATTATTTAATATTATTTAAATATTAAAATAATAATAAAAAGTAAAAAAAAATATAAATTAAAAAAAAAACCATCAGTTCGTCTCTCCCTCCCCCTCCCCCTCCTCTCTCTTCTCCCCATCTTTATTTTCTTCCCCTCACCTGCAAACCCCAAAAAAAAAAAAAAAAAAAAATTTGAAAACCCAACAACCCCCCTGCGGAAGAAGAAGAAGAAGAAGAAGAAAGAAGAAGGAGAAAAAAGGAGGAAGGAAAACAAAAAATTACCCCCTGGTCGGTGCGGAAGAAGAAGAAGGGAGAAGGAGAAGGAGGAAGAAGAAGAAGAGGAAGAAAAGGAGGAGGAAGAAGAAGAGGAAGAAAAAAAAAAAATTGAAAACCCATCAACACCCTCCCTGCGGAAGAAGGAGAAGGAGAAGGAGAACGAGGAAGGAGAAGGAGAAGAGGAAAAAAAGGAGGAAGGAAAAAAAAAATTTTTTTTTAGAAAACCATCAACTCCCCTGCGGAAGAAAAAGAAGAAGGAGAAGGAGGAAGAAGTAGAGGAAAAAAAAAAAAATTTTGAAAACCCATCAAACCCCAAATCCACCACTCTCATCCATTCTCCACATCCTCCACTTTCTCTGTGCACCCAAGATCCTGTCGACGGGATTTGGGTTTTTTTTTTTTTTTTTCTGGGTTGCAGAAGGGAGAAGAGTGTGGGTGTGGGGGAAGACAAATTGGATTTTTTTTTTTTTTTTGGTTTGTTGGGATTTGCAGGTGGGGGAAGAAGATGAAGATGGGGAGAGGAGAGAGGAGAGAGGAGGGAGGAAGGGGGAGGGAAGGGACGAAATTAAAGTTTTTTTTTTTTTTTCTACTTTTTATTATTATTTTAATATTTAAAATTATTAAATAATTGTTTTTTAGTTTGTAATAATATTTTAATAGAAAGTAGGTCCCGAATCAAGCTACGTCAGCACTTAACAGAAAAACTAATAGAAAAATTGACGGAGGTATGACATTGTCACAAATTCGTAAGATGCGATATAACATTGTCAATTTTAAAAGATGAGGTATGAAACTGTCGTGACCCCAATAGTTGAGATAATTTTTTGTACTTTACCCTAACTTTTTAATAATGTGAATGCTAATTATGATGAATGCTATGACAATTATGGGATCTAAATATTGTTTGATAATTATTTGGATATGTTTGCCAACTGAATACCTATTTAAACTTGAAACTATTACTTAGCATGAGATGAAGATGGAAGTCAGGAGATGAGTTAGGTACTTTATTAGATGTTTGGTAGAAATAGTAATTAAGGGAATTCCTTGATGGTCGATTTGTGGAATCGATAGAATGTATACGTATAATTATGTTTCATGTGTGATGATGAGATTGCACAACGTAGTTGTGGTACATGGATAGTCCTGCTTAGTATATCTGTGATGGGGGGACCATATGTATTCAGATGTGATCATGCTTGGTATATCTGCGCTGGGTGATCACTGCCTGCACGATGAGTTTATGTCTATGGTCCTGCTTGGTATATCGGCGATAGGTGATTACTGCCTGCACGATGAGTTTATGCCTATGGTCCTGCTTGGTATATCTGCGATGGGGGGCCATACGCATTCTAGAGGTGATGATGATTAGTTGTACATGGTACATTTTGGGCGATCATATTTGATTTGGTTCCGTTGAGTGGTCCGGAACCCGAGGTTGTTGAATTTCGTGGAGTGGCCTAAAATCCCATTGTTTGGAGAAGTAGGCTTGACCTAACTGTGTCACTCTATACTTTTCTACTTGAACTTAGTGGAATAAACGTCTGATTTTGTGGTAGTGAACTACGAATGGCTTGATCCTTATTAAGGGTACGTAGGCAATCTAATGAGAAGGTTTAGATGCAGCCATAAGGTAAACGATAAATTTCTTTGCAATTTGATTCTCGAATTATGATTTGCCATATTCCTGAGACGGGGTATGTGAGATATATGAGTAATTGGGTAACGTCACGTGTTGATCTTGGACGTATGTCGGGATCGGGACGTGACATGTATTCTTTCGATTTTTAATTTTGTTTTATTAGGGTTTGTGAGGAATTTGAATTTGGTCTGATTTAATACCTGAATTTTGAATTTTGTGCGTGTATCTAACAGCGATGGTGGAATACCAGATGATAAGGGGACTAAGAGTTACTCGTAAGTGCCACAGTCAGACATACTTTTATTTATGCTTTTGATTTTTGTTTGTGATTACTCATTAGGTGTTAAAAGTTTCGGATTTGGGAATTCCTAATCCAAATAATTGGAATTCCAGTCACCCCATTGCAATTTGGGAATTTCCGATTTGATTTGGGTGCACTCTTGTTGGGAAGAGATTATCAATCTGGAGTTTAAAAAACTTGCTATCGTTTAGGGTTAAATACTTATACTACTCTATTGATTTTCAATTCCCGTTAGGTTGTAGTAATTTCCATTAAACAGAGGGCAAAAAAGAAACTGAAATAACTATAAACTCAATTGACAAATTAACATATGAAATTAAAGCCACTCCTCACCTCTCCTTCATAGATCCCCCTAAACTAAAAGAGTTGTCCCTTCTAATCCATTCAAAATGCATATTTGTGGGATTAGTAGGGATAATTTTTCTGTCCCTTTTAATCCATTCAGAATGCATATTTGTAGGATTAGTAGGGATAATTTTTCTGCACTCAGTATCGTTCATCGTGGACTAAATATGGAAGTTACCATTCGTATCTTTCTTCAGTGTGCCTTCAACATAGGGAGTTATCTTATCCAAGCCAAACTGCACATCATTCCTCAACATTTGAGGACGTAGATGACTCCTTGCCATCATATAAAGTCTACTGGCAGACGGCAGTTCGTTGGTCTACGAACTCAATCCGAAACAAATGACATCGTTGTCCTGCATTTCCACACACTAGTTCGAGGCAATGGGAATACAAGACGTCTCTGAAATGCATGCATTTTAATTCATGTATATACATATGTTAAAACTAAATAGATATATATATGAATAAAGAGTACTAGTTTGAGATCAAATGAACTAGTGCATACAACGCACTGTGATTAAGAACTCGTAACTCCAGAAATCTTGTCAGGTATGCATCCAATACCAAATGAATGGATGTATCAATGTCACAGCCATTTGATATGCGGTTCAGAACATCTCATGTACATCTATCTCCCAATGATGTATTAATCATAGCTCGGTAAGCAAGCTCTGAACCCTGCTCAAATCCATCTTGTAACCAGGAGCCAAGATGTTGTAGGCGTGAGGAGAATCAGACCCAATTACTTCAAAAGTAGTCACCCTCGCAACCCTTGTGTAGCAACATAAACTTCAAGGAACTACAAACACAAAATAAAGTTCATTAACCAATGTAATAGAATTAGGTTTACAATTAAGTAGAGACATTATTCTCATACCCCTCCAGCAAAGCTCACAAACAAGTTTTCCACCGTAATTGATCTAATTAAACTAGATCTCCTTGCTGCACTAATATAACTTCGAGCTCGTATCACGACTGTTAAGGGAGTTAGGCCATGAAACTGTTGGTCAAATTGAAAAAATAATAATTAGAATTAATAAAATAAAGATACTGACTATTTCAAAAGAAACCACAAGGTTATAAAGTATTCAATACCCTATTTAAAAAGTTATATAGAGCCATGGCTGTCCATCTATCTCCGCACAAAGTCATGAATAGATTGCTACGTGTGAAACAACGGACTTTATTCACCCATTCATGGGATTCAAGTCCGAGTAGGAAACTGGCAACTCTTGAATCAATTGCAAGAATAAGCTCTCCTTGTACAACTATAACAACATTAGTGGTCCCATGCTTGTGCTGCAAACGAATCCAAAAAGAAAGATTCAGCACAGTTTCTCTACAAAACCCAAACATTGAACAGGTTCTCTTCATATTTACAGAACCTAGTTTCTATCAACATGTTCTGCACAAAGTAAACTACTCTTATGTGACTTAAAACCAATGTTTTAAAAGGCATGGGCGAGGCGTTTGATGGATAGCCCCGCCTAGGTGTTTGCCTCACGAGACTTAATTTTTGTACCATATATATGTATATATTATAATACTTTGTAAAACAAACATTCATTGTTATTCAAAAGTGCACAAGTTATATACAAGTATAACTCACATGACCAAGTTTAATCAATATTCAAGCATCTACTTAAGTAAATGCCTATATAATATATATATATATATATATATATATATATATATATATGTATATGAATCCTTTAACAAGAGGGATCCCTATTTTTCTAAAAAAATGGAAACATTCTCTTAACCGTTGGATTTGATTTTAATGAAATTGTGTGGCCTGTGATTTAATCTCAACCACACAATTTTATTAAAGGCAAGCCAAGGTCAAGAGAGTGTCCTTATTATATATATATATATATATATATATATATATATATATTATAATGAGTAAAAAAAAAGAAATAAGGATAAAAAGTAAAACTAATGAAAAGGGTTTGAAAACTTTGAGTTTTAACGAAAAAGACAAAATAAAGGGGAAAGTAAATAGTACTAGGATTGACTTTTTAGTGTAAAAATTTGGTTTTTCGTTAAAGTGAATAGTACCTGGAGCTTTTCGTTAAAATTCCCTAAATATAAAGACTTGAAAAAAAAAAAGAATAATATAACATTAAAACTATAATAAAAAGATGTTTTTTTACCTGCCAATCATAAGTGTCACATCTCGACCCGGGCTCCACCACATCCTGGGCTCGCTCGCCTAGCACGATATTATCCACTTTGGGCCCCGATCACCCCCTCACGATTTTGTTTCTGGGAACTTACACGAGAACTTCCCAGTGGGTCACCTATCCTGGGATTGCTCTCGCCCGAACTCGCTTAACTTCGGAGTTTCAATGGAACCCGAAGCCAGTGAGCTCCCAAAAAGTCTCGTGCTAGGTAGAGATAGGAATATACATATAAGGCTTACAAGATCCACTCTCCTGGACGATGTGGGATGTTACAATCAACCTCCCTTAGGGGCCTGACGTCCTCGTCAGCACACTCGCATCACACGACAGAATGGTATCCAAGGCAGGTGCTAGCCTGTCGTACAGACCACATTAGGCGGTTTCGACTCGTAGGTGACTTGCAATACTTCGCACAGCCTTTACGTGATTGTAGCAGTTGAGCGTATCTAATTACACGTAGCCAGTCGTACATACCACATTAGGTGGTTCTGACTTGTGTGCAAGAATTGATTGATGAGCTATAGGCTTAGCCGTACATGTCACGTTAGGTGACTCCGGTTGAGATATCAGTTTAAATTGATTTATTTCACCTGACTTACTTATTTCATTGCTGAGATACTTGACATGGCATATACTTGGTTTTCACTACTCTTGAGCATGATTTCTACATACGTATGTATTACTATTTTCTGGAAAATTATACTGGTTTTACGATGAAGGGTTATTATTTTTGGAAAGAGAAATGGTCTTAAAAAGATTTGTTTTTGCCCACTCACGTTTTCTATTTTTCGCCCCTCTAGGTTTTAGTAGCTGAGCTTTCGTGTCGACAAGGATTCTTGGCATATCCCAGTATAGGTGGCTATCTATGATGGTATAATCCTTATCTTACCTTACTGTACTTTATTTATGCTCTGTAATCACATGTGAAATGGGTTCATTCTCGCTCACAGCACACTCTTATATTTAGGCACTTTTAGGTTTAAATTTATTCATATTTTCTACATCACTACACTTTATGGCTTCGTCACCTTCTAGGTGTCGGCCAACACAACTCGATTCAGAGTCTTAGCGGACATTCTGGGTCTGGGTGTGTCAATAAGCATATTTAGGGAAAAAAAAACGATTACCTAATATGTATCTTGTATATAAGGAAATAAATATTAAAAAAGTGAAGAGTAAGGAGATGGTGGGTAATAAATGTCAATAAGTGAAGGTAGTGGGGTAATAAATATTAACAAAGTGGGGCATTTAAAGCTTTAAAGACAAAAATTAAAAAACAAACTCAGCCTAAAAAACCCTAGCTATCATCTTCATATCCTTCGTTGGCTTCTTGGTCTGCAACTCAAAAATAGCCCTGCAACTAAAAGAAATTCAAATTTCTGCAACCTAAAAATGAAAAACAGACGCCCAATTGAAGCCTTAGGTACCTAGGCGCGCCCAGACGAGCCTAGGCAAGTATTTCGCCCACTCCCACAAAACAGAGGCAAAAATGGTGAAGCCAGGCCTCCAAGGCAAAAATGGTGAAAAAGTGTCATGTTTGTAGGGTTAATAAAGCATGACTTGGGACTGCCTCGAGAAAATGCACAAGACCGAGTTGATCCTGGATTCGATTTTATATATATAGGAAAGTGTTATTAGCACTTCAAAAATCTCATTCTACACTCTTCACAAGTGTATTTTTCTTTCCAAATATAGAAAGTTTGGAATGTAGAATGAGATTTTTGGAGCCGAGAACCAAGCCCACTAACTGGGCCTCCAGTATTTGCTGGGCTTTGAGCCCTGATTCCCTTTGGGTTCTGAAAACCCTAAACATAAAAAAAAAAGAAAAAAGAAAGGGCCCTGGAGCCACGGCTTGAAGCCTTGTTCACGCCAAGCTAAGCCGAAAAACTCAGTCTGAGCCGAGTACAGAACACTGACGCAGAGCACATACGACGTCGTTTTTTACGTCGTCTTCTTCGGCACACCCGACGCCAGCTCGCTTGCAATCGAGCTCCGGTGACCCACAATTACTGGAAGTCGTCCCCGACCTCGAAACTTCGAGATTCAATTAAAAATCTCGATGATGTTTTAGAGATTTTGTGGAATTTCACTGATTTTAGAACACCACCGACGTCGAGAAGGTTCTCAGTCGAGAATCCTTGTATCTCTGGCTAGTTTTCCAGTCTGAAACCATTGCGATTGTGGCGGCGCCGTCAAATTTTTCGGCAATCCCACACCCGGCTCCGCTGGGTCTTCTCTCAGGATACCCCACCTTTTTCTGGGCTTTCTGTTCATTCGTCCCCGACCTCGAAATTTCGAGATTCAATTAGAAATCTCGATGTTGATTTGGAGATTTTGTGGAATTTCACTGATTTTAGAACACCACCAACGTCGAGTATCCATATATCTCCGGCTAGTTTTCCAGTCTGAAACCACTGCAATTGTGGCGGCGCCGTCGAATTTTTTCGGCTAGTCCACACCCGGCTTCGCTGGCCCTTATCTCAGGATACCCACCTTTTTTCTGGGCTTGCTGTTCATTCGGCCCAAGGCCCAACTAGGCTTATTTATTCCTTTTTCTTCGGCCTGCTTACCTGCAGCTGGGCTGCTCATTTTCTTGGCCCGTGACATTGCAGCAAGCAAGCAGCTTGCTTTGCATATTATTGGGCTGCCAATTGCAGCCTACCTGAGCCCAATTTGGGCCTAATTTTCTTGTGTGGCCTGCCTCCCACATTCAATCATATATGGGCCTAGACAATTTTTTTATCTTGCTTCTACGATCGACCTCGTGTTGTTCGATCTATTGAATTAATTAAAAGTGACTAGCAGTCTATTAATTTGATATGACATCCAAAATTATTGGCCTGAAGCCTACTTTTGGACATTAACGATTCAATATTTTATTTCTTTTCTTTGAATTGCTGACTCTCTTTCATAGTCTCGTAGTGCTCACACTTGAGTTCCTCAACAACCAAAATCCACTACACTTAGTTGTATATTGTATTTTGTGTTCATACAGGTACCTCCTTTTATGAACCTAGTTCATAACTAAAGTTGGACACGTACCACCATGTCCGAATAACCCATCTTATGTAAACTATTCTAATTAAGTTTATCAATATTTTAACCTAAAAATATTTAGATTTTGATAAATATTAAAAAATTATTAAATTGACACCATGAAACTTGTGGAACATTATGAAAGAATATGAAACATATAAAATAATTTTTTAATTAATTTAGCTGTTGGATTTAAATTTGGACCGTTGGATTTTTTTATTTTTACGATTGAATTTAATTATATTAGATCTTAGTTGTTGGATTCTATGAATTTTTAAATATAAAATATATAAAAAAATACAAATATGGTGAGCTAGCCCCACTAACCGAGAAGAATTCTGAGCTAAATTTGCCCCATAAATGAATTTTAGGTTAAAACTCATATTTACCTAAGGGTTGAAGCAAGTTGGAGGAAGTTTAGAACCTTAAATTTGACTTTTACGGTTTATCTAGTGAATGACAAAATTAGCCCTGATTTTGTTATAAATTATAAGGCTTCCTTTTCTTTTGGTTTTACACTTTCTCCCTCCAGTGGTCACTGTAGGCTTTCGGTTCAGTTTCCCGGATCAGGAAGAGAGAGAGTCCAAGAAATCGATCGACGCAGAGAAGTGCAATATACCAGAAAGGGAAGCGATGAAGGGGATGATGCCATCTCAATCCTCCATGTAAGTAGTTTCTTCCTTCCGTCTCACATTCTGTTTGGTTCTTTTGAATCAAGAAAAGAAAATTCCACAAACACCACAGCTGAAGAACTAAACTCTTTTTTCTGTTTGGTTCCCGAGAAAATAACAATTAAGACAAAAGAAAATGTGGGATTAATGACAACCCAGATGTTCTTTCAAGTTTTCTTGACCAAAGGACAAATGGGCATTGCCTCAATTCTGTTGCCAAGAAAATAACAATTAAGCTGAAGAATTGAAGCGTTATTTTATTTTCTTTCATTATTTTTGCTAAGAAATTGGAATTTGTACAGGAACTACGCTAATGAAGACGCCTACTACGAACTAGAAGAAGAAAATGAAGGATTGTTAAGGAGAGGCATAGTAGAAGGCTGCCGTGGAATTGATGGTATAGCAGACAAGTTTCAGTGCATGAGCATTCACAAACGAGACGCTGCCAAACGAGGTAACCCTCCCTGCTATTTTTGTCCGAAATCAAGATGTTAAGATATATTTGAATCAAAGTAGACAAAAGCCAATAAATTTCCTTCTCATGTATGTGTGGGAAGATCAAGAAAATTGTATGTAGAAAGAGGAGAGATGCTGAACATTTGAAAAGCTAGATCAAGAAAATCGTACATTCGTTGTTCCCACGACAGTAAAAAAAGAAACCTTTTCTCGACTAAGAAAACAAAAACAAGATTTCTGGGCATTCCGTGTTTGTACTTGCTTGGAATAACTAGAACTAGACCCCTAGTTGTGGTAAGCTTGGAAACATTGTCCAAAGTACACATTGTCCGACAAAAATGATGAGTAAGAGTCATTGAATCAGGAACATCAAGTGAAATTTTTTGGTAAAATGTCTCCAATCAAAAGGCCCGTTTGTACTTTTGACCCCGATTGTTTGGCAATGGTAGTAGGTTTAGTAGTAAATGGGAGAGTTTAGAGTCTTTTGTGTAAAGAACCAAGATACGCATTCAACCCAAAAAAGCCACATCCTGGAAGACCATCACGATGTACACTTTCCACTGAATGATGCATTCTACGTCTTTGCCTGCAAAGGTTGCTCGTTTTCTTTGGTGTATCTTTTTTCAATCCACAAGACAGCTTTCGTGATTACTGAAAAATTGAAAAATACATTATGTACATTTAGGTGAAGAGCTCTCTTTTCAGAAGAAATGTCTGTGGAAGCAAGAGCAGAAGGGCAGAGTTGCAAGGCTAGAGAAACAACTCAGGATAAGGTGGGAACTTGATGAGCTTATTGAAGAACAACTGAACAGGTTCCACGCCCACTACAACTTGGATATGGTCCCAACCCGGCTTAAGGATGTTGCTCAACTGCTCATGCCCAATTGGACTCCACCTGATGAGCTGATCTCCACAGCTTGGCTTGGCGATTGGCGTCCCTCTGCAATTCTGGAGCTTGTGCGTAGCTTGCCCATCTGTTCCTGCTCATCATCATCATCCTCTTCGAACTCTAGTGGCACTGAACAGCTCTTATCGCAGCTCATTTATGAGATTCGGATTGAAGAGGCAATAATTGATGAGGAAATGGCTGAAATTCAATCAACATGTATCTTCTACCTTCCATTTGCTCCAGCAAACATCCAATCAGGTGGAGCTGCCTTGGCTTCTGTTCAGTCAGAGTTCAAGAAGATCGAAAGGGTGATCACAAAAGCTCAACAACTTAGGTTTGTTTACTTTCCCTTGATTATTTTTCTGAATTACTTAACTGTTACGACTTTAAGAAACATGATAGACTCGATCATTGTTAAGTTAGTATCAAGTCTAGTACAATATACGTGACAGAACATGTGCTGTAGGGTTTCTGCTTGCTGTGCTTGCTAGTGTTTGTTTTCGTGTCTTGGCTTTCCCTCTTTCCATTCCTACCTGAAATGCAATTCTAAAATGAACATGCCATTATAAATAATTACAAGATATGTGATTCTGCATAACAGGTTCAAGGCACTGGAGTTGGTGTTGAAGAAGGTACTGAATGAAACTGATGCGGCAGAGTTCTTGGTTGCATTCGAGGGAATTCAAGAAGCAATTCACCAGTTTGCCGCAAACCAGAGGTTCCAAAAGGGTCCAGTCACGGTGCCTGTCAAGTCCTTGGGGTCTAGCTAAGAACAAAGAGATGTGAAACCTTCTTGCCAAATCAGAAACAAACAGAGAAAGAAGAGATAACAGACCTTTCCAACTTACCATTTTTACTGAACCTGTTTTTTTGGGTATGATATCTTGTCATCATGTCAGCTCCAGCAGAAATGTAGCAGATGAGCAGAATCCTGTGGGACAATAGTGTGTTGTCTAAACATTGTTTGCGGAAACTCGAAAGAGAATTTTGCATTTGCTGTGATTGGAAGTTGAACATATTATATTTGTAGTGAATGTATAAAGCTTTGTAAGATGAAGATAGTTTAATACATTCTCAATTTGACATGAGGTTTGTTGTTGACCATTTGATATAGCCGCACTTAGTTTCTACTTTGTTAGAAGAGATTCGGAGTTCAAATGTCATGTACGATAGTGTTGTACAAAAATTACAAATTGAGATTAGTTTGGATTGTGAAAGAACTAAAATGTGTTAAATTGTTGTGAACGGCTTTAAGCTTTATTGGTTATGCAGGTTCACTTTTGTACTCGAGGTTGAGTTCGATCTTCCTTTTCCGCATTAAAAAAAAAAAATAAGTGTCAGATTGCTCACGTTTAAAAAAATTACATATTCGTTTAACCATTCAAGTGTCTAATTCTGAGTGACCTTAACTTACCCACATCATAATTAAATTTATCAAGTGTAAATGATTTTTACGTTCTTGTTTTTAATTTTTTTAATTTTTTAGTATATCGATATTTTTACATTAAGAAGAAGGAAGTTTGGCAAAGCCACATGTAACGATAAAAGAAATAAAATGCAAGAATCATCACCCAAAAACAAATAAATAGATATTTTAGCCAAAATAAGTAATTACAATATGATTTCTTTCCCTAATTACAATAAATAAGTAATTAAAAATATGATTTCTTTCCCGAAAATTTTAATTCAATCGTCTAACGCCTAATTCCTAACAGATCCCTAATACTGTTGACCAAAAAAATTATGACCGGAACACGGTGGTACACAAGTGTCATCATACAAATAGTGGGATTGTATGTGTTAAAAAGTTAATAACATAAAAATAAAAATTTTCCACTATTTATACCATTCATATTTCCGTCACAATGAAAAAGTTCCCAAATATTCAAACCAAAAATCCTAAGACGCGCCTACAGAGCGCGTGCAGTACCTCTCCTTCTCCTCCGCCACTCAAATATATAAAAACGTAGAGTTGCGTAGTATTTCGTCAAGGCCAAACCAAACAAAGCACAAACAGGAAACCCATCCCCAAAGACAAAACCCTCGCACCCAAAATCCCTCTCAATCCCTCAAAAAACCCTAACCCTAATTTATCTAGTAAAATCATCGGATTCAAATCGGTGGTCTGGTTGATTCGTTCGAAATTGAGAGATAGATTGAAGGATGTCTGCGGCGGTGTGCGGAAGCAAGAGGTCTTTCTTCGAAGATCAATCGCCGCCCCTCGCACAGAGGCTTCCTCCGTCGCCGGTCCTCACAAAGAGGCAGCGCCGTTCGTCTTCTACCTCTCCCATTCGCTTCGCTGCTCCGTATCTTCTCGAGCAGCTTCGCTCTCTTTTCCCTCACATGGACCCTCAGGTATCAATAGATATTGCCTTGTGCTTGTGTTTTGGTTCGATGCTGCGTTTAGTTTTCGATTCCTATTGTTTGTTTGGTTGCTGAGAAAAAGAAAGGTTGAAAATTTTGGAGTTGTAGAATTTTGTTTATAAATTTTTTGGAGTGGCTTAGATTTATTTCATGGTGTTGGGTATAAAAAGGATTTGTTTTTCTCCGATTCACGGTAGGCCTGAAGTTTAGACCGTCCAGTTTATATAAAGGTTGATTTTCCATTACAAGGTTGAGCAATGTAGAATTAAGTTTCAAAATCTAATTTCAGCATTTTGTATGTTGGGAAACCAATAACTGATTTGCATTGATGATCCTTAGGTTCTTGAGAGAGCATTGGAAGAATGTGGCAACGATATGGATGCTGCCATCAAGAGGCTGCATGAACTTTGCCTAGGATCTGCGGAGGAAACTTCTGCATCTGCTGAACAAACAGCTGATGCCGTAGCTAATGGTATGATATCATTTGTGCATTTTCTGGTGCTATACTTTGTTTTGTTGTTTAGGCTTGTGATTTAGTTCGTGGTTGCTTCTGCATATGGGATGGGATGCTATAAAAGGTCCATCATGGACTGATAAATGAGAAAGTTCATTAGCATGATTGCCTAATTGTAAAAGTGGTTAATACGTACTGCTTTCTCTCTTGAAGATGCAGAATGGCTTGTGCATATTTTCGTTGTGAGGGGTATTGCTATTTATTGTGATTACTACACTGCTAATCAGTCAAGTTCTTTCTCAGTGGAATAGTGAATGGAGTTTATAAATCGTTTATTGTTTCTTTATATCAACGTTCTAAAGAATTACTTCGTGTTTGTATTTTGAATTCAACACTTTTTCAGTTGTTTTATGCCTTTCATCTATTTTGTTAGTAGCAGGGTAATAAACATCACTCTAAATCAACAAATCTTGCTACATTATAAGCAGTATTCTATGTTTCAGCTTGTTGTATTTCTTATAAAAAAGATAGTAAAGAAAAAGGAAAAAAGTCATAGGAATATTGTTCTATTTCTGTCATTTCAACTTGTTCCTTAAAAATTTGAATGTTGTTACCTGAAATTAATTCCATTAGATTGAACATTCTTTTATCAATTATTGTACAGTTTTTATTGTTTGCCAATGGTATACTTCAAACTGCATTTAACTAATCTTTTTCAAGGGTACGACTTTTATTGTTGCCTTCTAATTTTGCAGGTCTATTGTCTAATGATGAAGCTGCAGCCACTACTGAGAATCCATTGGTTCAAAACAACCTTCCTGCAGATGGTGCAGAATGGGTTGAGTTGTTTGTAAGGGAAATGATGAGTGCCAGTAGTGTGGATGATGCTAGAGCCCGTGCTGCTAAAGTTTTAGAGGTTTTAGAAAAATCCATCAGTGAACGTGCTGGTGCTGAGGCAGCCCAAAGTTTTCAGAAGGCGAGTATATCTTTTATTATTCTTTTTCTTGTTCTGGTATGTGTTGGCCATGTTTGTGATAATTGATCAATGTGTCATTTATGCTATTGCTCCAAACCTGTAGCTTCTGGATAACAGGTGTAGATCAGATGCTTATATGAAGGATGATTATCTTTCTCTATAATGATATGTGTTTACGATTTACAATTATTAGGAAAATATGATGCTGAAACAACAAATTGAAGGATTGGTAAGGGAGAATACCATTCTGAAGCGTGCTGTAGCTATCCAGCATGAACGTCAGAAAGAATTTGAAGAGAGGAACCAGGAATTACAGCATCTGAAGCAGCTAGTTTCTCAGTATCAGGAGCAGTGTAGAACACTAGAGGTCAGAATCATAACTTTCTGGCTGCTCAAATATTTTTTTTTATACTGTTTTTTTATTGTCTAGAAGCATGATAGTGAAAGTATTTTAGCGGCATTAATATCAGGAGCACATAAAAGGTATATAATATCCATAATCCTGGTTCAAAACATAAGAAATTTGAGTGTGTTGAAATTTATATCCTTTTGAAGGAATGTAGAACTTTTAAAATATCTGAAGATGCATGATTTATTTCCTAAATCCTCATTTGGTTAGTAGAAGCTGTTGCTGGGTCCTCTATTGTGAATGATTTGAAAATTAATTCCTAAAGCTGGTATGAGGAAGTAGTGGTAGAAAACTTACCAACCATGGATACTGATATCTATCAGATTTCCTATGTCTTAAGAACGATGTAGTAAGAGATCTGAAACATAAAAGTGATAACGATTTACAGAAACCTTACTGACCATGAATACTAATCTCTGTTAGATTTCTTATGTCTTAAGATTGATGTAGTAAGAGATCCGAAACATAAAAATGAAAACAGTTGACAGAAATTAAGGACAAAAAAGGAGAAAGCTGTGGAATTTGTACTAAGGGATTCTCGTGCATAGAGTCCTGCTAGACTGCCAATCTCTGAACCACAAGTTCAGGGAAGAATCCACATGGTCAATGATTCATATTAACTAAAGCATCTTATCTGGCGAGAAAACATTGCCTTTGTATCTAGACTAAGCAAAGAAGGTGCATTTTATCTCATTGTAACGTTGTAGAAAATCACATTTTGGCATTTTAACTAATCATAAGAATTCATTTGTGGTTTCATGACAGATTAACAACTATGCTTTGACAATCCGTCTGAAGCAGGCGGAGCAAAGCAACTCCATCCCTGGACGTTTCCACCCTGACATCTTTTAATTTGAAGAAATAAAAATAAAATGTAGCATATTGATGATATAGAGTCAGCAATACATGCTGCGTCTTGAGCCGTTTGAAAGTTGTCCGTCCAAGTTTGAAAGTTTGTCTGTCCAAGTACGTGTAGCGTTTGTAGATTGCTGCTGCTCTATGTCTTTAATGTTCCCAGTCTCAGGTCAGTGGAAATTTGTCAAACTGAAATCCCGCAACTGAATACTTTGGTTTGTATTGGTGAATTTGTATTTTGCTTCTATCAAGTTTGTAATGGAATTTAACATAAAAGTGAGAACATGATTACCGTTGGTGGATATAGTTGAGTTGCATTCCTCTAATGCCGTGATTCCGGTATTGACCTAAGAGACCAATTAGCACTGTTTATCTTACAAGATTCAGGCAGATGCTATCATTTCTCAGGTCGGGTCAGTTTTGAAGTATTGAAAGATACTATCAATGAAATATGTTTTATTTTTAACGGTTGTTTGGCATAGTAATATGATTCTATGTTACGTTTTGTTCATACTTTTTACTTAATTGTAAAACGACCTTTGATTAATTTTCCCATCTTGAAAACCGCTATAGTTTGAAACAAAGAAGGATCGTGTAACGCCTCGTTTTCAGCGCAGTCCGAGCCTGAACATGAGACACTCCGATTCACATTTAGGGCAAATAATGCATCTAATTCAAACTCTCAAAACTGGACCTTAACGCTTCCATTACCCCACTTCTTTTGATTTACGGTTTACCTCATAATACATACTATAGTTATTAAAATTCCAGAACAACACATTGATTTGTACTATGCTATTGTTAAGATCGTTTGACTTGTGCCACAAGTAAATCAAGATTCTTATCAAGAGACCGTGCCATAGAGTGGTTAAGTCTATGCTACGTCATTTTTATGTGCCTTGCAGCCAAGGACTTTATATATTTTCTTTGTGTTTTGCCAAGTGATAGCCACAAACTAATCAACGACGAACTTACGCTTTTGGTTATTGCTAACCTATTGTGAGGTTAAGCTCACTCCTTTCCGGACAATATTGTTTGTTAAAAAAGAAATCAAAAAACTAATGTGATTTTAAGATATCTCTAATAAAAAATAAAAAAAAAAAAAAAAAAAAAACTCTCCCCTTTCTTCTCACTTTTCTGTCACTCTCCTTTCATGTTAAAAACAAAAATAAAAAATGCTCAAACAAAACTCGAGTGGGCATGTATTGGTATATACATACATATATATCTCTATATATATATATATAATATTTTTTATTTTTTATTTTTTGTAGTTTTAACTATTTATTTTCTTCAATTTTCTTTGCAAAAGGGAGAAAAAAGAATGAGAAGAAAAAGAAATTGAAGTGGGGAACTCACACCACATAATATCCTTAAGGACACCAAAGACGCTGCCAATCGCACCCACACTCAATCTCGCTAGTCAGCCATGGACATTGCAGCACCCACGTTCCCTTCGTCCCACAACTGATTCGCCCACCTCCAATGGCGGCCGCAGCTCTCTCCCTCCTCCCCTCCTCCTCTCCTCACCTCCTCTTCCCGCCCTCTTCTTCCTCCTCCTCCGCCTCCTCCTCTTCTTCTTTGTTTGTATCCGGTGGGACCCATTTGAAGACCCACAAGAGCTTCGTTTCTCTTAGTTCTTCTTGGCCATCGTCATCTTCTTCGTCTACTTCTTCATGGAAATTCAGCGCGAAACGCAGCGTTGGGAGAGTGTTTGCTGCTTCTGGCGATTACTATGCCACTCTTGGGGTTCCCAAATCTGCCACCAGCAAGGAAATCAAAGCCGCTTATAGACGTTTGGCTCGCCAGGTAACTATTTTCACACCCTACTTGATTTTTGGAGTAAATTTGTTCAAGTTACTCTGGAAATTGTAAAAACCTCAACTTTCAATTGTGGGCATTATGCAATTGTGTGCATTTTCTCAGCAGCCAAACAACTGGTGTCTTTCAAAGTTATAGTATAGTTTTTATAGATTAAATGACACAAAATCCATGCTTTTGTTTTGGCATATTTTAAGGAACTTATCAAAACTTATGGCTTGCTTTTTAAGCATTTGTACGTACTTACTAAAATTTTGGTGATGCTTTAGTTTTATGTTAAAAGGAGAAAGCTTTACAAAAATTTGGATGCCACTGCAATTTCACACGTGAAACTATCATAATCAGTTTATATTGGAATTATGTTTGTGTCTATAGTTACTATATTTTATCCATCTTGACTTAGTAATTAGCAATATATGTTTATAATATTTACGTAATTCTGACCTTCTTATGTATTATAATGCTCTCAAGTACCACCCTGATGTCAACAAGCAACCAGGAGCAACCGAAAAGTTTAAAGAGATCAGTGCTGCATATGAGGTACGAAACTTGCTTTTCTTTATCTCATCTATACAAATGACATGCTTATCACATTCTGTAGCAAGCAATGAACTTAGAATATATGATTGAATATATAGTTTGTGCTGTTAAGTTGAATCTTTTGAAAATCCAGTCGGTGCATTCTATCTGTATACTTGTGGTACTCATTGTTCAGTTATCTTTTATTGGCATTCACCTTTGGTCTTTCCAACGATGGTTTCCCTTGTGAACTGTATTGGAGATACTGGTGTTAACAGAACTGCCATAGAAGCGTATGCTGCATATCTAAGTTAGACTCTGAATCCGTGAGCAACAGTAATCCAAACTCACCTTAGTTATTTGTATTGGCGCATATGCTCATAATCTAACCAAGTATGACCTCCGTCTTTATCAATGACATCACCAATAGTGCAATTGATTTTTTTTTTTTTTTTTTTTTCTGGCTTTCCTTCATTTCCAGGGTGTTAAGCTTGAACATGTATGATCTCTTGTAGTCTGCAATCATTTAACATTAGGATTTATGCTTTTTGTTTCCTTAGTCTCCAACGAAGCACATTATCTTGCTTATCTTTTCTTTTCACATTTTAATATCGTCTGTTGAATTCTGAAGTACAACCTTGTCAGGTGCTATCAGATGATAAGAAGCGATCTTTATATGATCAATATGGTGAAGCCGGGGTTAAGAGCGCCGTAGGGGGAGGTTCAAGTGCCTATACGGTAGTGGATGCAGTCAAATATATTTTTTGCATGATAAATAAATAAATGTGAATTGTGGCAGGCACTTGATGTATGTAGAAACTTGCACGTCAATCATATCATTGCACACCATGCAGCGTCCAGTTGTTGGATGTATTTTGGGGCAACATGGCCTCCATTTGGTCATTCTCCTTTCTGAAACTCAGGTTCTAAAATCACAGTAAACAATAACAGACATGGACTTGCACACACATATTTTAGAGATAATGAGAGGCTACTTTGCCCCAGATTCATCCAAAAAACAGAGAATATGTATCTCCTAATTAACCTTGATATTCAAAAGTATATGCTACTTCCTCTGCAACATTCTTTATATACATGTATTATTTAAAATGGTATATGCTACTGTCTCTGCAACTTTCCTATATAGCATATTTATTTGAGCAGACAATCCCAACCTACCAATCATTTTAGAGAAGTTATGGTACTTTTAGTTAATTGCTGCTTTGTTTATGTGACAAACCATGCCTGTGTGGTGTTTGCGTAGATTATTGGTCAATATTCTTTCTGGGTTTATATGTTCAGTTGTTGCCTTCTCTTGAACAGGTTGCAGAATGTGTATATCTTAGTACCGTATATTGATCACCTGAATTGCATGCCTAGTTTCCTTTTCACTGTAATCAATGAGAGAGAACTTGTCATCCCAGTTTTTTTTTTTTTTTTTTTTTTTTTTTTTGTGCGATATCCTATATTCTCATGACAATGTTTATTTGTTGGAAAAGTTTTGCAATCAGAGCTGTTTCCCCGATTTTAATCTGAGTTCTTTGCTGAATGTTGAATTTCATTAAGTACTATGTTCTTATTCTTTCACATGGATACAAGATGTTTTTTCCTTTTAACATTATTATTAGGTATCTGAGTAGACATGAATAAGCAAATATAGAGCTGTGCAAGGTTTTCGTAATCGTTTTCTTAATGATAACATGTATTAAAGCTTAAATTACTTGATTGTTGCTTGGTATTTTTTTTGCAGATGCTTATTAAAAGTTTAAATTACAAACATTTACTCCTATTTTGCAGACAAATCCATTTGATTTATTTGAGACTTTTTTCGGGCCGAGTATGGGTGGATTCTCTGGTATGGATTCTGGTTTTGGAACGCGTCGTCGTAGCACTGTTACTAAGGGTGAAGACATCCGGTGAGTTATAATGTTGCAGACAATACACGTATTTTTTTTTTACCACCACCATTCTCTTCCTGCATACAATACTAATATTCACTTGATACTTAGGAAATCATATTTATAACAACTTTCTGTACATATTGGTTAATTGTGTGGCCTGATTATATCTGCTCTCGATTTGCTACGTAGTAAGCAAGTTTTCTAATAAATTGTTAATTAGTTATAACACACATTCAACTCAGGATCAGGAGAGAGAATATATCTTTTGTTCATTACAATGAAAGTGGCTTATGGTTATAAAATGATATCATATGGAGATATTCTTACTTCAGCTCAATTCCTTTGCTCTTCATGTAAATGTCTGGGAATTTTATTTTCTTTGGTTTTGAGGATGTGCTTTGAGTAGCTTCAGTAATCAGTAGCACAGTTATTTAGTGTCCTTTATTAAACTTATGTGATAAGCACAATTGTGCCTTACGAGTATAATGATAAAGAATATTAGAGCCTTGCTGCTACTTGATCACATGTATAATCTTTTACGACCACTTACAATTTTGAAAAAGTGGTTTTTCTCTACTGGTTTGTGGTTATTTTGTCTTCACTGTGTTAGAAAATTTCTTACTGTCCTATTGCTCATTTATTGTTGTGATACAAAATGAATATACCATTGACGGCTTTTTAGTTGACTCCTGGTCCAATTATGTTCAGTTATGACTTCACTTTAGAATTTTCTGAGGCTATATTTGGAGTGGAAAAAGAATTTGAACTTTCCCATCTGGAAACATGTGAAGTTTGTGCTGGAACTGGCGGTAAAGTAGGCTCTAAAATGCGGATTTGTTCTACTTGTGGTGGGAGGGGTCAAGTTATGAGAACAGAACAGACACCTTTTGGCCTGTTTTCCCAGGTAAGGGCTTCTGGTTTCTATTCTATTGATTTCTTTTTGCACTTTTCTGATATTTTGTGCATATTCGTATCAAATCAAAATCAGAAACATTCGTTTAGTGTGATTTCTCAAGGGTTATCTCCTAGTGTTTTAACTGCTTAGTTGCCTATGGTTTAGAAATTTGTCTGGTTTTGCATTCAATCCAGTTTAAATTCTTTAATGACTGATTGCATCTCTAAAGAGTAGCTTGATTGTTGGTGTTATTTTACAATCGAACTGGATAAATGTTTTTGCACTAGATAGCACCAACTGGCTATAAGTCAAGAAAACACTGTTTGAGGTAAATTTGGATGTGATGAATACATCAGTAGGAAAGGTATGGCTTACTCAGGTGGTATTCTGCACATGGGAAGGCCAAACGTTGAATGGTTTGTGGTAGTGAGAAATGAAATTATAGCCAATTCTTGACCTCATAAATGGAACTGATTGCTCAAGTGGCCTCATTTAGTTCTACATGTTCATGAATGTAAAAAATCTGCGATACATTTGATGTAGTTACATGTTAGGTTCGTTTTTAAGTTATGTATTAGCTCTATGTGGAACTGATTGCTCAAGTCAGCAACTAATTGTGGCCACCGGATTATATTTAAGTTTATATTGCATCACTCGGGTATAAGCACCCTGTATTCTATGCAAAACTGGTTACATGATTATTTGAATTATCTTTTTGTTTATGTTAGGTTTCCGTATGTCCAAATTGTAGTGGAGATGGGGAAGTTATTTCTGAATACTGTCGGAAGTGCTCTGGTGAAGGACGTGTTCGTGTTAAGAAAAGTATTAAAGTTAAAGTTCCTCCTGGTGTTAGCACAGGAAGCATTCTGAGAGTTGCTGGAGAGGGAGATGCCGGGCCGAAAGGGTAGGTGGCTGAATTTCATTTTGTTTTTTACCATGCATTTTCAAGGTACCGTCTTTGTTTAACTGTAAGGTAGATATTCTGTAATATATGAATAGAAAAAGTATGAAGTTCTCCTTCATTCATGCTTTCAAGCATATACAAGGTGCATATTCAATGTTTTCAATTAAAAATTTGTTACAATTTATTTTTTTTGGTTGTGTCGATACAACATTAACTACTTTGTGGGAGCACTATAGATGCTACGAAGTTTATAGTAGGCTCACAAAAAGCATTACAACAGTAAAATCATGTGAAGATTCTCATCTAAAACAAAAGTCATGTGAAGATGATTGAGACATTAAAGACCTATTCATCTTATTTGTATAACCAATTGCTGATCATGTTATACCATCAGGGGCCCTCCCGGGGATCTTTATGTATATCTTGATGTTGAAGAAATAGAAGGAATTCAAAGAGATGGCATAAATCTCTCCTCAACAGTTGCTATCAGCTATCTGGATGCAATATTGGGGGTTGTTGTTAAGGTATAGTTTGTTATTTTTATTCAGCATAACATTAGACAAACTCCTGCTTCCATTTAATTGTTATTTGTATCTCACAGAAAACATATCTCACAAGCCTTGGGGTAGTAGAAATGCTTAAATTATTCTATTGCTCACGGGTTTTTCATGACCAATCTATTGAATTTCTGGCATCTAAAACAGGTCAACACAGTTGAAGGGCTTACCACACTACAAATCCCACCAGGCACCCAACCTGGGGATATTCTTGTCCTGGCAAAAAAAGGAGTGCCTAAGCTGAACAAACCATCAATACGTGGCGACCACATATTTACAATTAAAGTAACAATACCAAATCGTATCAGGTATACATTTTTCTCTTTTTCTTTCTATTTTCATTGTTACTGGGTAGCTGTAGCGGATTTGCCACAAATTCATCTCCCTGTATTGTCGCAACTTAAATGTATTGTTACTGACTTCAAATACTCAAAAGTTTTGGTGTATGCTTTGTGGCAAAATGTCAGCTCTTCTAGTGGTAGAACATCCATGAGAAATTAAAAAGGCACGAATATCATTAAGAGACAATATAAAAGAAACATGAATATGATAGTAGCTTGTAAATATATTAAATGACTTAACTTGGATAGTAAAAAGGAAATGTAAAAAGGTGGATGAACACTACTGAGAAGGTTGTCAGCTATCATCATTCAGTACATGTTGTGCTGTGGAAGCACACTCATGAAGACAGAAACGAGTATTGGTTGGAGAGAAGAGGCATGGTTGTTTGCTCGATTCACAAATAATAAACATCAAAGAGATCTTTAAGCTTCTATTTTCTTGTATACATGTAATCTCTAAAGAATGGGAGTTTTTTGAAATATTAACTGACATTTTTCATTCATTTATAGTTCCAAGGAGCGTGAATTGCTGGAAGAACTTGCTTCACTGAGTAATACTGCTGCACACGTTCACGTACTCGCTCTAAAGTGCAGCCAGCTAGTAAGTAATCGCTTTGTCATTTGAGATGTTTTCTTTGCTTGCGCATGTTACAAACAGCTTTAGTTTCAGGTTCAGTGTACAGATTTATGTTTTATCTGACTTGACTTTGATGCTTTTGCTTCTGCAGCAACTAGTATGGAAACTGAGGTGGGATCGGATGGGGAGAAAACAGAGGAAGCAGGAGATCAAGATGACCCATGGAAGAAGTTAAAAGACTTTGCAGGGTAAATCTCTCTCTCTCTCTCTCACACGCACAATGATATCTTTCACGTACTGAGTATTTATGCTACTTAACTGCGGTCACTAATCACCGAGTGAAAATTCTATATCTGTTTCTAAAAAGTATAAAAAGATATGGAAAATGCGGTTGATATTAATTTCCTGGAGGTACTCTGTTATAAGTGTGGCATATCCAGATATGTATAAGCTCATGAGATGCTTTCTTTTTATTTTTTTTTTATGTGTAAATTAATAGTCGCTTCAGATGTATATTTTCTGTCATATTTGCTTTTATCTTCTCTCATTAAAGCACTCATCATCTGCACGACAACTGACCAAAAAAGTATGTCGAATTTGAAGGTCTGTTGCAAATGGTGCCCTAAAATGGCTGAGAGACAACCTCTAGTCTGGTGTGTTCATGAAGTTTGCTCCAAATTTGCCCAAAAATTCGGCTATATATTTTTTTCTTCCTCCCAGAAGGGGTACTGGACGAGGCCGTGCAGCCAAAATGTCTCCACTGTTTTACAGAACCTAACTTGCCAGCGTTGCAGTGAAGATCTTGAATTGTGCGGTAGGCGATGTTGGTTTTATTTTTTGCACTTGTAATTTAACATTTGTCAAATAATATACAGAATCAGCTGCTGCGTCTGCGCTGCATGAACTGATTTGTATCGTCTAGCAGGCTAGAGGGGCATCAAATTCTTGTCAATGAAACTCAATTTCAGATTCAACGTTTATTGTATTTCATGTTTTTTTGATGAATGAATTTCTCTCCTAGTTATTGTTTGTCAAGAGTATTTACCATCGGTCGGTGATGTTACGGTGATGTTAACAAATACGCATAATTTGGTTGTGAGGAAGTACTGATGATTTGCCGAATCGTACGAAGTAGTCTCATTGGTTTAACTCTACCACTTGATTGATCATACTGATCAGGTCATTTCGATCATGCCCTGGCAAGCTGATCTCGATGAAAGCGCTGAAGCTTGGAAATCAAGGTAGGAAAAATTAATAAAAGAACAAAGTACAGAATAGAGCCCGGAATCGAGGAGAAAATTGACATGTACACAACAGAGACAAGCATTGAGGAAGTACACAACAGAGACAGACTTGCTCCGATAACATGAAAAAATAATAAGAATGTACCACGACTAGGATCTGTGCTAAATTGGTGAACTACACTCCTAGCTTCGTCCCTCCGCACGGCTTTGCTTGATCAAAAGCAAAACAGCTACAACAACAGGCATGATAATCATGACAAGAGCCTGGACGATGTTAGGTCTAGTTATCTCAGGCAAAACTATGCTTCCGTACTTTATTACTAGCTGCAGCCACAAGGGAACCGGCTACCACCTTCCCCAGATATTCCAAATCGTCCTGTTTACACAAAAGGAAATATTTACCATTCAGAGTATTCTCAAATCATTTCTATGTTTCGGGACCACATAATTTCATAGATAACATCATTTCTATGTTTCGGGACCACATAATTTCATAGATAACAGAAGACATAAGGCGTCTTTTAAGTTTCCGGTTTCCTGATTAGTTCATACTGGAAGCAATTTTTAGCAGATTTAAGATAACTTCTTTACACATAAATCACGTTCTCTTGTTGGCCACTGATATTCCATCTATTCCCTTCGCTTTGGCAACCAGACTAAATCCTTGATGCCAAGACATAAACTATGACCGTGGTATTAGATCGAAATGCAGCTTAGTTTCTGTTCTATTTTTCCGAAGACATATTAAGCAACCCTATTCTTCAAAAATGCAAAACAGTCAAAACTACTAAGGATGTCGCTTTCTTCACTCTATTTTCCCTGGTATGAGATACCTACTCAAAATGCACTACGACAATTCAAACATGTAAGATAGGTTTGTCGAAAATACTTCCCTAGAACTGTCTAAACAACTGAACACGAAATTTGAAAACATTCATGAAGAGAACAAACTTACGCTTATAAACAATATAATCTTGACACTCTGATTGTTTATGTTTAGATATGCAAGCAAAATAGAGCAAGGCTGATCAGAAAAAAAACTCGCAAGAAAGTGAAATCCCTAGAGGAAAACAAATTCATGTCCATAATGCTAACAAAACCATCATACCTTTTAATTGAGCCTAAAACTCTACTGGACAGTGGACATAGATTTCTCATGCACATACTGATGCTTGCATCTCTTTTCATACTATTTGAGTGAATTACCAAAGAAAATAAACACCGAATCTGGAGAATTCATATTCAACATTAAACCCACTAATCATAACGACTTTGACTGAAACGCTTGTGTGAAAATGTTTTTGGGTTTCAAAAGCACTTCAAGTGCTTTTTGGGAGAAGCACTAGTTACGTGCTTCTTGCAGGAAACACTTCGAGTGCTTTTCAAAATTCCTTGCATTTTTAGTAAGGATTAGTTTCAAAAGCATTTTCATCAAACGCGCTTCCAGTCATTTGAAAAGCACTTCCAAACACACCCTTCTACGATCTAGTGATAATCTGCTTATACCAAATGACCAAACTTGTTTTCTATCTCAGAAATTAACACATTAATTCCCCTGCAGAACCTAGCTTGTAATAGTGCAATATTTAAATTAAAAAAACCCAGAAATTATTAAACAACCATCAAAATTCAATAGCTTTTCGGACGTTTATATATAGGGCAGAGTTTCTAATCTGTCTAAAACAACAGTAGATGTACCAATTTACCTTCAATTTGGAGCCTCAATATTTACTCGCAGTAGCCAAAATTAATCAAAAAAAGAAAAGGGGTAAATGGATATACCTCAGAGATCAAACCGCTGCCATTGTTACCCACCTTTGAATTCACTTCTTCTTCCTCGCCTCCTCTTTGAGGGTCAAGAGCTCGGATAGGGAAATACCCTTTTACCCTTTTGGAAGATAAGCAATTGGGGTAGTGAATAGCAAATTTAGTGTAACTCGTGAACTTCTGTGGGGGCCGTAGCCGCCGTTGATCCAACCCGGACGAGTATCGGAGGTTGGAGGCTCCAGTCGCCGTAGCTGAGGCAGTTGCCACCACCATTTCTATGTGGCTGACACGTAGGACTTAATAAGTGCATGTCACTCCATTCATTGCCTCAATTTTTTAATTTATCCATGTGTGCCTTGAATTTGTTTCATTTTTTCGTAAATTTAAATCAGCATTTGATATTAGTATAGAAAAGGAAATTGTTATTAATATTCTAAAAATCTTATTCTACATTTCTGAGTGTATTTTTTTTTCTAATTATAGAAAATTTGGAGTGTCAAATGAGATTTTTGGAGTGTTAATAACAATTCCCTATTAAAAAAAATTTAATTATACCTAGCATTAGTATTATTATCATATGAATTTGTAATGATAAATCAATTAGTTTGTAAATATTAAATTTATAATCTTCTTAGTAATTGAAATGTTTTTTTTAATCAAAATGATCATTGAGATTTGTATAACTTCTCACTTTGGTCTCTGTTTGTCCACCATCCCTCAATTTTTTTTTCAAATCATTTAGATTTAACATAATTTTTGGTTGGATTTAACATATTTTTCATGGAATGACCAAAATGATTGCTAGTGGACAAACTCAAGAACTACTTCTATTGAATTTGAATCTCAGAGAACAAAATGATGAGTTATTCTCCATGATCATTTTAGTTTAAAAGCCTAATTGTTATTCATGTGTAAGATTTTGCATATTAAAGTTAGGTTGACCTTCGTTATTGAAAATTCTGGACTCCCTCCACCATTAGTTTGATCCAACCTAAACCGTTGATATTTTCTGATTTCGGTTCGGTTTAGGAGTGGAACCGCACCGACCGCACCGTGCCCACCCCTAGATCAAAGAACCACGTTAATACAAATTTACCTCTGTACTTATAGTACTACAAGACTTCGATGGCCACATGGCAAATTGTTGTTGTGAATCCCACATCTACTAATATTCCTAAGAATATTGCATTTCAAAGAGACCATATCCATTCGGAAGCCATCTTTTTCTCCTTATTTTGTGGAAATCAATCCTAATCCAACTATTTGATGGCCTCCAAGTCCACATGCTGGAACCAAGGCATGCAAATAATTAGCATGCAATTTTATAGCCACATCTTTAGTTTGGATAAAATTACTTTGATCTTCAATCAGTTGATTCTACTACCATTTTATTCCAGTCGGTCTCGAAGTTGTACCATTTATCCAAATTTAAGGTGATTCTTGGTCGGCTAATTCTACGGCAATAAATCAATCATCTTCATCTTTCCACCAAAACTTGCATCTCACTGATCACATCCTGATCCTTATCCAAAGAAGAGACCGCATGCAACTGATTACTTCATGATTTGGTGGATTTCAAATCTTTTCGTTAATTGCTGACCAAAAAGAGTTTCATTAGCTTAAAGAGTGTGATCAAATTAGGATTTGATGGTATTTTAATAGACTTTAAAATTAATTAATTAGAAGTTTAAAGGTGGATTTTAAAATCATGGTATAGTCAAATTAGGATTCAAGAGGATTTAAAGAATACATCCAAATTAATCTATGGTAGTCAATTAAAATTTAAAAAGTCTATACAAATCTAAGTGTTTGCCAAAGATTTGCTGAGGAATTCTGTGGATGAAGAATTTTGATGGATTTGAGGATAGGTGGTATAAGTGTAGTGGGAATGCCAAAGATTTGCTACGGAAGGATTTTGATGCAAGGCTTATCCTTATTTTGGGCTCTAGGTGGTGGATTGGAGACGATGAATCTGTGGGGATTTGGGATGACCGCTAGCTCTCCACTCCATCAAGGTTTCGGGTTTTCTCTCCCAAACCTCCCGACTGTGAGTTTAGTTTTGTCTCTGACCTAATTTACGCTGCTGGAAGTTACCCCTTCTTCATTCACTTTTTACTAATGTCGAAGTAAATGTTATTCGCTCCCTTCTCCTGAGCATTCGAATGCCGTCAGATAAATTAATTTGGCATTACGATAAAAAAAAAAAGAAGGTGTATTTTCGGTCAAGAATGCAGTATCACGTTGCTCGAAACTGGGTTCTAGAAAAGGTGAATGAGACTTCCTCTTCTAATCCTCACATCACTTTGCTGAAACTTGGAAGAAGTTATGGGCAGCTAAGGTCCCTATGATAATCTGGAAGGAAACATGTGAATATTGATGCTTGTTGTGCTTTGTGTGGGGCTTGAGGTGAATCAACTTTACACTTGATGCAAGATTGTATTTTTGCTAAGCATGTTTGGTTTGCCTCCCCCATTAGTCTTCCTCCTTGTACGATTCCCCCCTCCTCTATGCTGGAATGGATGTCTCTTTGGGCTACTGAGCTCAACATCTCAAACTTTTCTATCTGCTTGATGATCATCTGGGCAATTTGGGAAGCGAGAAATAATCAGCTCTGGAATGACATCTTGGAGCCTTCTGACATCATCTCGGTGAGATGTATTTCCTGGTGGTTGGAGTTCAATAAGGTGTCCTTTGTGTGAGGTCAAATGGCAGCACTCCTCATTTGCCTTCTTGGACTCTTCCTCCCTCGGGTTTTCTGAAGATGAATGTTGACGGTGCCTGGAATGACACCTCGAAAAAAGGAGGGTGGTATGATTATTCGGAATGACCAAGGGTATTTTGTGGCTATAGTTGTCTCAAAGGTAGATTTTATTAGGCCATCTTCAACTGAATGAGGGCCAAAGGGACTCGTTTAAGCCCTATAGTCCTCTAAGAAATTAATATTTTAATGAACAGTGCAAGGCCATATTTTTTACCATCTCCCTGTGATAACAAATCATCTCCAACCAAGGACCAAAGGGTCATAAGGCCAAAGATAATTTATTATTTAAATTTAAAAACTACAAGAACTTAAATTTAAAAACTATAAGAACTTAAATTTAAAAACTACAACTTAAATTTAAAAACTACAACAACTTAAATTTAAAAACTAAAAATTAAATTTAAAAACTACAACCACTTAAATTTAAAAACCATAACTTAAATTTAAAAACTACAAATTAAATTTATAGGAAAAAAATGAGATTTTTTTAATTTATTTTTAAAAAAATTTTGGCCAAAAAAAAAAAAATCAAATCCAAAAAATTTTGGCCAAAAAAAAAAAATCAAATCCAACAGTAACTGACGTCAGCTAGTCGTTGGTTTCACACACCTTCAGATTCAACTGATCCAATGTCCATAATATGGTGGATATTGGGTTATAATTCACACACCTTCAGATTCAATCACTTTCAATTTAAGTTTGCAATGAATTCCAACTTTGGATCATCTTTGGATTCCAACTGAGGGTCCCATCCATTCTGAATTGGAAGAAAAATAGGCGCAGATGAGACGAGAAGATGAGGAGTCTGATGAAGAAGTTGAAGCATGGCGCAACACACAATATGTGGCAGACATGACTGCAGTCATAGCGTGTCAACCAGCTGAGGAACAACCTCAATAGGGTGGCTATGTTGTTGGTCGCTCTTACAAACCACGAAACAGAGCGATGACACATGCCAATCTAATGAACAACTACTTCAACCCCAACTCAGGTGTACACATAAGATGATTTCAAATGTCCCTTCTGGATGAAGCGTTATGTCTTCGAGCATTTACTTCATGATGTCCAGCAGGTTAATTTATAGTTTCGACAGAAGCTGGACAGAGCAGGCCGCCCTGGTTTCTCACCTCATCAGAAGGTTACTATTGCACTCCGAATGATGGCCTATGTCTCCCTAACCAATTTTATGGATGATACATATGGTATGTCTAAGTCTACATGCCTTGATACTCTTAGTGAATTCTGTGACACAATTGTTCAACTTTACAAAGAGGAGTACCTCCGTGACCCAAATTAAGAACATCTGGATTGGCTCATTCGCAAAGTTGAAAACTGTGGCTTTCCGGGCATGATAAGGTCATTAGACTGCGTGCATTGGAATTGGAAGAACTGTCTCACAAGATGGCAATGAGGCTTTAGTGGAAGGTCGAGAAAGCCAACTATTGTGTTGGCGGTTGCCTCATATGACACATGAATCTGACATGCTTTCTTTGGAGTCCTTGGATCCCAAAATGACATTACAGTTCTCGGGCGTTCACCCCTTTTCAATATCCTGACGGAAGGTAAATCACCTCAACTTGACTACTACATCAACAACTGTCAGTACAATATAGGGTATTACTTGGCAAATGGCATCTACCCAAAATGGGCGACACTTGTCCAGGAACTGGTAATATCTCTTTAAATGAGTAAATGAGGTGCTATGGGATAATACATTCCCGTACCACAAACAAGCACCTACAATAGGATCATGTTGCACATCTTTGGGCCAAAAGAAGCATGAAGTAGGCGTTTTAATTTTATGTTGTTAAATGTTTTTAAAAATGTTGTTAAATGTTTTTTTTATGTTGTTTAATGTTATTTAATGTTATTTAATATTGTTTCATGTTACTTAATGTTATTTAATGGTGTTTAATGGTTTAAGAAGTTATAGGGAAAAAATAGAATTTTTAAAGTTAAAAAAAAAAATTGTAAAAAAAAAAATTCAAATATAACGGCTAGCTAACGTTAGCATGTTACTGTTGCATTCAAATCCAGGCCAGGCCTGGGGCTGGCTGGCTAACTGGGTTGGGCCAGCCGGTTAGCCATTTTCTCCTTTTTTTGGCTTGGTGGGGCTCACGAGCCCTTTGGCTTAGCCCTCCGTTGGAGACGGTTTTCGTGTCATTTTGAGCTATTTTCGGCCCTCAGGCTAGATCAGTTAAAGATGGTCTTACCTTTCCAGTGCTGGTGGAGGCGGTGGCTGCGAGATCTGGATTTTACTGGCGATGCAAAGGGGTCTTTAAAACATTATTCTTGAGAGCGGCTTGCTCCAGATTGTGGTTGTCTTTCATGACTCTTCTCAATGTTTTTTCGATGTGGGAACTATCATTGAAGATCTGAAGGTGCTCATGTCTACGATCACTGGAGTTCATCCTACCCATATATGTCGTCATGCTAACAATGCTTAACACATTTTGCTATTTTGAATGGCTCAAATTGTAATTGGTTCGATGAACCCTTTATATTATTTCTGATTTACTGTTTGAGGAGTCTCTCTTGTAATTGGTCTGATCGTAACCACTTTTTCTATGAATGAAGCTATCGATGTTTTATATAAAAAAAAAAAAATCCAACCCTCCCCTCTCTGATTTCTTTTCCGACTAGACCAGAGAAGATGAATTATCTTACTATGAATTGTCCATACAGATCCAAAGAAATCTATAATGGTAATTCATATAAACCTTACAAAATCCATATATAATTGTAGAATCTATTAAAACCCTTCAAAATCTGCCACTTAACGAAGTCTATGAAAATCCTGTGAATCCAAATTGACTACACCCCTTATCATCCCTCCTATGCAATATGGAGAGCAATTAAAACTAAGTTTAAATAATACACATGAAAATGTATATTAGCACTCCTTGCAGCTCTTGGACTCTTCTCGCTAATCCGCCATGCAACAGAGAATTCCACAATATTGCCATGGTAATTCAACCTAGATAAACATTAATCTTCAGTATTAAATCCAACGACTCAAATTTTGCTCACTCAACGACCTTGATTGTTTGAGCTGATAGTGTAAAATCGTGTACAAACACATACCTAATGCATGAAATGTTTCGTCGCATTGGCTGTTTGGCCAAAGTTATGTGCATCTAGTAATATGAGACCCCATTTTGTAGATGACATGGACATCATCTGTGACATGAGCCAGCATTTTCAGACTCGACAAATACCTTACCGCCTAAATGCTGCACACTGGGACGTATTTTTTGAAAGGGGAAAAAAAAAATATCACAAATGATCTTTGAAATTGACTGAACATATTATTTTAGTGCCTCACTTTCAAAATCAATCAATGTCGTCCTTAACATTCACTACCACACATCAATTTGGTCATTCCATTTAGATTCCGTCAACTATTCTATTAATTTGTACGTGACAACTCACAAATTCAATAAAATGGGGACACGTGGATTGCACGAAATTAATATTTTTATTGCAAATGATTCTTGACATTGATTAATCTTCTCATTTTGATCCATGAGTTTCAAAAATCGATAAATTTGGTCCAAAACCTTTACTATTGCACATCCATTTAGTCATTTCATTAAAATGTCGTCAATATATTTTTGTTAGTGTGCCGACATGGTCCCACTAATCCAATCATATGGTGCTAGCTAGATTAACTATAAGAAACTATCACCATTTGACAATCATTTATGTCGTTACAATATATAACTATCAGATGATGCCATGGTAATTATATACTTGTAAGTATATTTTTATGTAAGTATTGTGGTCAAATCTCATATACAACGAGAACCAAAACTAGCTGCTACGTAAATTTAGGGACCCAAAATTAGCTCTTATGAAAGTCCAGGGACCAACATGAAATTTAGTCAAGATTGGGTAGCATGTCGTTTAAAAACCGAATTCGATTTTGGTCTCGAGGGTTTCTTCTCCTTCAATTACAGTTTCTTCAGAAATAAAGAGTCGACGACAATCACACATCCTCGAGAAGAAACACATCACTTCATCTCTGATTTTGCTCAAACCCTACCCCTACTTTTTCACCCAAACCCTAAATCCCCAAATCTCTACCAAACCCAATCCCAGAGTCCCCAATCCGTTCCCAAATCCCCAACAAACCCATCAAGTTTTCCCCTCTAATCAGCAAAGATGGTGTTGGCGCAATTGGGAGGGAGCATCTCGCGTGCTCTCCAGCAGATGAGCAATGCGACCGTAATCGACGAGAAGGTCCTGAACGAGTGCCTCAACGAGATCACTCGCGCCCTGCTTCAATCCGATGTTCAATTCAAGCTCGTCCGCGACATGCAGACCAATATCAAGAAGATCGTCAATCTCGATGATCTCGCCGCCGGTCACAACAAGCGCAAGATTATTCAGCAGGTACGTACGTGTTCTGTGATTCACTCTCACGCATTTAACTTCTTTTTTTTTTTTTTTTTTTTTTTGTTGTGATTTTGTTGGTTATATTGTGTTTGGGGCTAAAGAATTTAATATTATATTGTGCTATTGATAATCGTGCTGGTTTGCCTGTTTCGGAAGTTGGTTAGCAGCATTTGCAAGATTGTATGAAGCCTTTGGCAGTTTGGTACCTTGAGAACTTTAGCGATACAATGAATTTAGTCAAGAAAAGAGTTTATAGGATCGTAAATTTTCTATCTTGTGTAGCCTACAATGCGTGCATCGAGGCCTGCATTTGAACAAGTACTGTTTTGGGTTTTCTCTTGTGCGTATGATGAAAGGCTTTATTTTGATTGGACACATTTTACAGTGCGGGATTTTGTTTTGTTAATCCGGGCACATTACACCTCTCGTTTCTGTTTGTATTCAGTTGATATAGCAAATTTCATATGTTGATGTACGACAATATATTTCACTGTTATTTTCTCTTGGTTTTCTGTTGTTTTCTAATGTAGTGTTCCTTTCTTTATAGGCTATATTTAATGAACTCTGCAAAATGCTGGATCCAGGGAAACCTTCTTTCGCACCCAAAAAAGGGAAACCAAGTGTTGTCATGTTTGTTGGTTTACAAGGTATGCTTCCTGGCTAGTGGATTATTTTCGTGCTGATTTGATTCTTCTTTTTCGTTGAACACTGATTGGATTATTTGGCATTTATTATCTGCAACTTTTAAACTTTTAGTCAGTGTGTTGTCTGGAGAAAGATTTAATGGTTGATTTATGTTAAGGAAAAAAGCTTCTTTTGTCTTTTAAATGTACATTTAGCAGTAGCGTGCTGTGTTTATATCTTATTTTCTGTTGAACTTCAATTGCACTTATCTTTTCTGTTTACAGTTTTAACCAATTCATTCTATTTTTTTTTTTTTTTTTTTTACGACATTCAGGGTCTGGAAAAACCACAACGTGTACAAAGTATGCATATTATCATCAGAAAAAAGGTTGGAAGCCTGCCCTAGTGTGTGCAGATACATTTCGAGCTGGTGCATTTGATCAGTTGAAGCAGAATGCCACTAAGGCTAAGATTCCATTTTATGGAAGGTACTTTTTACTTTCTACTGGTTATTTCTTAGGACAATTACAAGCCTTGTACAGTTGTGAAATTTGGAATGTTGAATTTTCCTTTGTGTAATTAGTTGAATTCCAGATATTTGTTACATTTTCTTAGGGAAAGTTAAAGAAAGAAGGTAAATTAGATTAGTACCACAGTGGTTATATTTGTTCTCATACTCCACTGGTCTGGACTCCAATTTATTGTTTTGGAAGTTAAAACGAAGGTTGCTGGTTGGGAATGGTCATTTTCACTTAAAAGCAGCCACCCTTGGTCTGCTCTTGTGTATCCCTCTTTCTTTCTGCATTACCACCTGACATATTTTCTGCAGTTAATGCTTTTTAGCATTCAAGTGATTGTTGGTGTTTTTCCCCTGCAGCTATATGGAGTCAGACCCTGTGAAAATTGCGGTTGAAGGTGTGGAAACGTTCAAAAAGGAGAATTGTGATCTTATAATTGTTGATACCAGTGGGCGTCACAAACAAGAAGCTGCTCTTTTTGAAGAAATGCGTCAAGTTTCTGAAGCAACGGTACTTTTTCTGGAATTTCATACTCAACACTACATTAACCTTCTGATTGATTCCATTTGCTTGATAATATCTTTCTCTTCTTATATTTTCTCTCATATTCCAGAAACCAGATCTTGTTATATTTGTTATGGATAGCAGTATTGGTCAGGCTGCATTTGATCAAGCTCAAGCCTTTAGGCAAAGTGTTTCAGTTGGGGCTGTTATTGTTACAAAAATGGATGGTCATGCAAAGGGAGGTGGAGCTCTTAGTGCGTAAGTGTTGCTACAACTATTGCAATCTTTTAATAATTTTTAGTTTGATTTAAGCATTGGTATAACTCATATGAAGATGTTTTGTTAAGCTTCACTCTGGAAACTCAGTATTTAACTTTGTTCTTAGACTTGTTTTCAACCTCTTGGATGCATGGGAAAATCTCTTATAGTTATAAATTTTTGAAATAGTTTAGAGAAATGAGATATAACTAATAATTAAGTAAATAAAATTCTAGCCACTTGTTTTGCCCAAATCTTCAAAACCTTGCTTTTGTACCCATGCCGAACTACATTGACATTCATATTATGATCCAACCCTTGAAACTTCTAGATTGTATATTGTAATATTCTTAGGGACCCAAAGTTCTCACTTGGAAACACTTATCTTTAGTACCAAGCTTTGTAGAATTTGTACTGTATGTAACCAAATCATCAGTGGGTTATCTACTAATAAGCAGCTTAGTTTCCAAAGTTTCTCCATGTTTTCTGAGGATGGAATTTCAAGTAAAGTCTTGAGATTGTAGAGTATAAGAAGCTTGAACTTTTGGGTTTTGACCTTTTTGGGAATGCTGATTTTGAACTCTTTAGGTCTTGTCTCCTTAGTATCTGTAACTGTTTGACAACAAGATTTTATTTTACTCTGCAGTGTTGCTGCAACAAAGAGTCCTGTTATATTTATTGGAACAGGAGAGCACATGGACGAGTTTGAAGTTTTTGATGTTAAACCATTTGTCAGCCGTCTCTTAGGTCACTCTCTCTTGCTTTCTTGGAACTTCAATTTTTTTGTTGCACTTACGACTTAGCAATGAATGTTTTAAATAATTTTGATAACAATGGGTTTTTACCACTAGGCATGGGAGACTGGTCTGGATTTATGGACAAGATTCATGAAGTTGTTCCTATGGACCAACAGCCAGAGCTTCTACAAAAGCTTTCAGAAGGGAACTTTACGATGAGGATTATGTACGAGCAGTTTCAGAACATACTTAAAATGGGTCCAATTGGCCAGGTTATCATTCTTTTTTGTTGAAGTTTATCTAGAACGTGCCTCTTTTTTCTTATTGCCCCTTTTTCTAGACTTCAGTGTTGGTTCATTTATATGTTAGCTTCACCAATTCTCATCCTAAATTCTTTCCCAATTTTAAATTTTAGCAAAAACCACCTTATATCTTCCCAACAGCTTTCCCAAAATTGAGAAATTAACAAATTTTGCTCTAAATCTGGTTGGGTGTTTCCCTTTTCTCAAATGCTGCTTGTTAGTCCGACTCAGTAGCTACAGCTTCTCTATAAAAGTAGTCTTCAAATTCCCCTCCCCAAAATGTCGTAACTGGATTCAAGAAACCATATACTGAAATCATGAATAGTTTGTGGTGCACTGAGTAAAATTCTTTAACCAACAATATCAACCAAAGGAAAGAAAAGAAAAAAAAAAAAAAACGACTGCAGTGATGTGGGTTATTAGCCTTATAAAGCAATTGATAAGTAGCTTTAATTCTAATTGAAAGGTAGTTATAATGTTATTAGCCTTTAAAACAATGGAAAAGTCTCAAATAATAAAAGATTGGGAAGTTCGGAGTCACATTCATGATTTTCTGTGGTTATAGAGCCTCATAAAACAATTGAAAAGTAGCTATAATGCTAAGAATTTAATTGGTTTGTATAGGTATTCTCAATGCTTCCTGGATTTAGTGCTGAATTAATGCCAAAGGGCCGTGAAAAGGAAAGCCAGGCAAAGATCAAGCGTTACATGTACATGATGGACTCAATGACGAATGAAGGTAAGTAAAGGCCATTCCTTTTGTTTTTGTGTAATAAGCCACATAGCTTGAGCAATTACTGTCATGTTTAGTTCCTCCGGGGGGGAAAAAGCCATGAGAAACCTCACTTTTAAGTTTTTACTGAATTCATCATGCTGAACTGATTTGATTGTTCTGAATATCTCAACTAATCTTGCAGAGTTGGATAGCACAAATCCAAAACTCATGAATGAATCACGTATAATGCGAATAGCACGAGGCTCTGGTCGCCAGGTCAGAGATGTAATGGACATGATGGAAGAGTACAAGCGCCTTGCCAAGATATGGAGCAAAATGAAAGGACTCAAGATTCCGAAGAAGGGCGACATGAGTGCACTATCCCGAAACATGAATGCACAGCACATGAGCAAAGTCCTACCCCCGCAGATGCTGAAGCAGATTGGTGGCATGGGCGGCTTACAAAGCTTGATGAAGCAAATGGGTTCTGGTAAAGACATGATGGGGATGTTCGGAGGTGGCGACAAGTAGATATTGATGAAGAAAATGACAGTTACGGTGGTGATCTCAAGTTTATTTCCAAGGATTTCCCTTTGTCAACCAGAGAGGTTAACAGACGTCTGTCCGCAAGTTGACACTACTCACTAGTTTGCCAGAAGGCCCGGCATCTATTAAGATACTTTTTTTTTTAATCACGGTTGCATTAGTTGTAATCTGAAGGGTCCACAATGTTTAAATCTTTTTGTATGTATTTGGTTAAAGGAAGGAAAAAAGGTTAGTCGTTTTCGTGATTGAAAGAATTGGAATGATTTAGAGGCAATGAAATTGAACTTCATCGGTTTAGCGTTTTTTTATCAATCATCAGGAGCCACCTGCACCTCCATCGTCTCTCTCGCTCTCTTGAACGGCCATGGCTCGGATGAAGCCATGGCCGCATCCAAATGGAAACCAACTGCTAGAACCCAACCAAAACCCTGGTACCACCGCGGTCGATGTGAAATCTCAAATCTGCATGGGAGTCACGTCCCACAGCCACAGGGCGCTGTTATTGGGAAAGGCTACGATAAAGCTTGTAATAATTGTCATTTTCTCGTTTCCATGCACGGTGATGAGGCACGAGATGTCGATGGAAGCAGAAGACGATGATTATATTGAGTGTGCCGGTGGCGAAGCGGCGAGCAATCGAAGCTCAGAAAATACTTGAGCGGAAGAGAAAGTCCGCAGGCGAGGAGCTACAGCCGGCCAGAACCAAGAAAAAGAAGGTAAAGGAATTGTACAAGTTGTCGAAACTTGCTGCTCAAGAAAAGCCTAAGCCCCCTAAACCTCCTAGTCTTGTTGTCAAAGCATCACAGTTGAAGCACGATGCTCCGGAGATCACTCCAGCACAAGAGATGGTGCAAAAAGAGAGAGAGATCATTGAAAGCTTATCCGATCGCAAGGCGCTGCTGTCAGTTGGTGAATTGGCAAAGGGAATCACTTATACGGATCCCATACCGACGGGCTGGAAGCCTCCATTGCATATAAGGAGGATGGCGAGGAAGCAATGTGATTTGATTCGAAAGCAATGGCATATTCTAGTTAGTGGTGAAGATGTTCCGCTGCCTATTAAGACTTTCAAGGATATGAGGTTTCCGAAACCAATTTTGGAGAAGTTGAAAGCCAAGGGGATTGTTCAACCGACCCCCATTCAGGTGCAAGGTCTTCCGGTGATTTTATCCGGGCAGGATATGATTGGCATTGCGTTTACAGGTTCGGGAAAGACCTTGGCTTTTGTTTTGCCGTTGATCATGGTGGCATTGCAGGAGGAGATGATGATGCCAATTGTTCGGGGTGAAGGCCCTTTCGGATTGATTATTTGCCCGTCCAGGGAGCTAGCCGAGCAGACTTATCAAGTGGTGGAGGAGTATTTGGCTCCTATGAGAGAGGATGGATATCCAGAGATTAGGCCTTTGCTCTGCATTGGTGGAGTTGACATGCGGTCGCAGTTGGAGATTCTAAGGAAAGGCGTTCATATAGTTGTTGCTACTCCGGGGAGGTTGAAGGATTTGTTGGGGAAGAAGAAGCTGAATCTCGATAATTGTAGACATTTAACTTTGGATGAGGCTGATAGATTGGTGGATATGGGATTTGTTGGATGAGGCTGATAGATTGGTGGATATGGGATTTGAGGATGATATACGAGAAGTTTTCGACCATTTTAAAGATCAAAGGCAGACACTCTTGTTTTCAGCCACAATGCCGGCGAAAATTCTCAACTTTGCCAAAAGTGCTTTGGTAAAGCCTGTAACCGTAAATGTGGGAAGAGCCGGAGCTGCAAATCTTGACGTGATTCAGGAGGTTGAGTACGTGAAGCAAGAGGTTAAGATTGTGTACCTTCTTGAGTGTCTGCAAAAGACCCTACCGCCTGTGGTAATTTTCTGCGAAAACAAGGCAGATGTGGATGACATTCATGAGTATCTTTTGTTAAAAGGAGTGGACGCGGTAGCCCTTCATGCAGGGAAGGGTCAGGAGGAGAGAGAGCATGCCGTTTCTTCGTTCAAGGCAGGGAAGAAGGATGTCTTGGTTGCCACTGGGGTTGCCTCAAAGGGTTTGGATTTTCCGAATATTCAACATGTCATAAATTATGACATGCCGCCAGAAATTGAAGATTATGTCCACAGGATTGGACGAACAGGAAGATGTGGGAAGACTGGAATTGCAACGACGTTTATAAACAAGAATCACAAGTGAGACGACACTGCTCGACTTGAAGCACCTCCTGCAAGAGGCAAAGCAAAGGATTCCACCGGTCTTAGCAGAGCTTAACAATCCAATTGGAGACTACGTGGACGTTGCAATAACAAATGAAAGCGGGGATAAGGGCTGCGCTAACTGCGGTAGGCTTGGTCATCGGATTGGTGACTGCCCCAAACTAGAGAATCAGAAAAGAATGGCCATTGCCGCCTCTAGATCAGGGATGTATTTTGGGTCTGGTGGTTACAAAGGAGAAATCTGATTTGTTTTAGTCATTCTCGATCGCATATGATAGTTATGTAGTCTGTTTCTACTCTGAATTACGGGAAAAATATTGACTTGATCATGTTTTTCTTTGTGTAAATCTTCAATTACATGTCTAACCTTCACTTCATGTATCCAAGTCTTTGTTGTTTATTTGCTAATCGGCATCAACCTTAACCTCTATCACTAGTTTTCTGTGATGTGTATACTGTAACTTGATTCAGCCGTCATGTTTTTCTTGTGTGCGTTTTTTATTAGAGCAACGGCGTAATCTGATGTAGCAGGAAATATAGAGCAATAGCCCTCTGCATAATACAGTGCCAATTTATCTCCTATATTTTTCTCCAGACAATTTCATCCTCATTGTATAGTTTTCACTTCCACGATGCTGATCATGTAATTCTTTTGCCTAATCTTCTGATAGTCGTCTGTTATCGTTTTTCCTTAAAGCTATTTAACTTCTGTATCAACCTTTTCAGTTACATAAGATAAAATCGAGGATACAACTATGAATTCTGTCGCTTCTGCGGTGATCTCTTCTTGTACACGTATCTCACCAATAAAATACATTTCATTACATTCCGCAACCAGTTCTAAACAAAACTTGTGCCATCAAAATGTCAAAAACTAACACGAATACATGAAATTCTGAATCATATTTAGCGGTAGCTAGCTCAATCTCATTTATTCCATGGAAAGTACTTTGATAAGGGCATTCGGAAGTCCTTATTCCTGATTCAGAAGTATTCGAGTCTTCATCTGTTTCACTCTGCTGGGTTAAACTTCGATGGGGAGAAGGAGAAGGCGGTGGAGTAATTTCTTTATCGCCCTGCAACATCTTCACCACATTGCTCATGAGAGGTCTTGCATTCTGAACGCACAGCAGAGCTACCAATAACATCCTCTCCGATTTTTCCATGTCTTCTCTTTGATCCCACAACGCGACATTAAAATTGCTTGTAGAGACGAATCACATGCCTTTCTGAAATACTATAATATATGTGAGTCGTCTATAACATTCATTTTTGTTATGCATTTCCCATGTCCGCTTTGGAAGCCATTCCCGTGGCTCGTTTGCATCTACAGGAAGATGTCTTCTCCTCTCAACAATCTCAAAGAGAAGGATCCGAAAACTGTTAACAACGCATTTGTGAGGCACGGGATAAGGCTTCCATACAAGCAATCCTTGTAAGTTTTACCGATAAATGTAAAGGGGAGTCATCAATGTTCGCAATGCATTCAATGATACGTTTTTAGCAAACTGCGATTCATTACCTTATTGTCTTGTTTAGGACACTTCTTCTACCGGACGTGTTCTTCTCTGTATGCATCATAGTCTCCATTTTCCGGCCTTCCTGCAACTGCCACTTGAAATGTGTCTGGCCCAAGTTTGTGGCCAGCAATCAGTGACATTGGCGGGGGCTCGGGATGTGTTGGTTTTTCCTTCCCATACTCTAAGAAGAGACTCTCGCCAAGATACAATGCATAAACTGCTGGTCCCGCCAACAAAAATCTCCTTTGTTGCGGATAAACTACTTTTGGTTCTGATTAGTGTGGTAAATAAAATTAATGGGTCCGTCTCTCTAAAATAAGTACGAGGTTTTTATGAAAAAAACAAACTATAAGTGGAACTATTTGATATAAGTTGTGATTTATTTTGTGAGATGACCAATGTGACTTTGTTTTATTCAATATAAACGCAGCCGCTTATGATACAGGCTGTGTGGCGACTCACGCTTCCCGGCATTCCCCAATCGGCGACTAGGTCTAAGCCATATGTTTTGAGTTGTGTTTTTTTTTTACTATTTTATCTAATCATTTAAATGGTGGGTTTTTTTTTTTTTTTTTTTTTTTTTAAGTACATCGACATTTTTACACTAAGCGAAAGAAGAGTTCGGCAAAACCATACAATGAGCAGCCTAATTTGGTATCAATTTCGTCATCCACGAGATTCGAACTTAACACCTCTTACTTCCAAGTGAAAAGGAATACCACACGGATATTATCTAATCTAAAAGAATGGATCATTTCTAAGGGAAAAATCGACACTTGACGGAGAAGACCAAAAGCGCAACTGTTCAAATTGGAGAAGGTATAGATCAATATTTAAAATTCAGGGACGCAAATGCACATCATATTGTTTTCCAGGCATAGTGTAGTTGAGAGACGATTGCAACAATTAAGCCTAATTAATAATATGTTACAAATAATGTTATCCAGGCAGCCACCTGTCGTATAGAAGTACAAAGTATATTGGCAACTTGTACCACCGTATACAAGGATTTAGAAAACTTGGATATACATACATACATACATACATATACATATACATATATATATATATATATATCTAAAGTATTACTGCTCACATGTCATCTTTCCAAGAATTTGCTTAGAACAGTTTTCCTTAGATGCGTATCTCCGTCTTCATCATCTTCTTCAGCTTTCATATTTGTATACAACGCACAGCGGATTACCGAGTTGACCTGCATCCTTAATCTGGCATTGTCGACAAACTGATCTGTCAGCATCTTCCTCAGCTCATCATCAGCCTTCCTATCATTACCATTGACGTTGTGAGTTTCATCTACCGCCATAACAGTGTTTTCCACATCCTGGGCGAGGAGCTGTGCCTGTTCCAGTTTCATAAACCATTATAATCTGGACCAGAGGCACCAGTACTATAAGCAAATAAGACTTGTAAATGAAAAAATGAACATGTAGTTTAGTCATATATATAAATGCCGTCATGAACCAGCATGCGATTGTTAATGGATACAGATTCCTAATATAACTCACTAAATGGATGAAAAGACGAGGACGAGAACTAAAGGTACATAACATACCTCCGCCAGAAGGAGACCAATTCGATTGTCAGAAGTTGTCAGTAAATCTATAGCATCAGATGGAGATGAAGTATCCATAATGAGCTTATCTTCCTCTTCAACAAGGAAATTAACGCTACATTCTTGAAGCCGATTGAGAAGAATTTCACATTCATGTAACAACTTTGCATTAGCAGTATTTGCCGACTCTGTCCTTCGCCTTTCCTTGTGAAGAATTCTCTGAAAGACAAAAACAGAACAAGATTTGGCTGATTTAAAATTGTATTTTCTTTAAGGAAAAGTGCAATTAACCCTACTTAAATCCACAAGGTTAGGAGATATACGCAATTTTAATTAAATGAATCTATGCAGAGAACGAAAAATTATCGAAGGTTTGCCAAAACATATTAAAATATGTGAGAAGTTTGGGAACCTATTACAAAAATCAAATGAAGCATAAGCGACGTTACCTCTACTTCTAATTTCTCTTTCATCAATCGACTAAGTTCCTGCTTCAATTCTGATTGTGAGTTCCGAAGAGATTTGACCTCTTTAACAAGTAGCTTTACATCTGTCTTTGACTTTGACTCAAACTCTTCATGATATTTCTGCAAGTTCTCAAGTTGCTGCTTAGAGGCATCCAACTCCTGGTGTAACACATCATTCTCATGAAGGATGGACACTTTTGTTGACTCTGAATGCATCCTTTCGTCCTGGAACATTCGTGAACATCATCCACATAAGGACCTCAGCATTGAATAACACAGACAAATAAATAATTTGTGGCAGAACGAATAAAACCTGCTCAGATTTTAATTTTGATTCCAAGTCCAAGCATCTCCTACGGAGTTCCTCCATATCCCACTGCATTTGGGTAAACCTTTCTTTTTCGGTTAAAACTGTCTGCTGCATGTTTTCTTTACAATTCTGTCTGGTAGTTTCAAGATCAATTTCCAAATCTTTGACCTACAAGAGAAAATTCCCATAAAGCAACACAAAATTTCAGCAAAGTTACAAAAATATAACAGAACAAGAAAACAATCATTCATGATTTCAAAATCATTCTCAACCCTCTATCTCTTTTGCAAATCCATCAGCCTTTTTACATTGAAAACAACAGCAGAAACAGCACAAATAAAAATAAAAATAAAGGTTTACTTGAGTTTTTTGGTGATGTAACAATTTTCCTAATGCAAGCCTATACTGAATCAATAATTATTTCCTGCCACTTGTGGGACTCCTTACAACTACTAATTAATCGTCAGAAAATTCATTCTTTAATGTGGCATCTGACTTAGGTTTGGCTTTGCTCTTACTAACTCACCTGTTTATTGAATATGATTCCTTACTTCCCCACATGGCTGGGATATGACCTAAAATAATAATGGTGCATATACCACTAAAAATCTTAAATACTAATATATATCTTCCAAAGAAAAGAAAAAAAAAAAAGAAAGAAAAAGCTGCAACTAATGGATAACCCAACTGCAGCCATCTAAGTATGGAGAAACCAATGGCTGGGAATAGAAGCAGACTTTGTTCTATAATACAGTCAATCAGTACCACATTAGCAGCACAATTACTAACTGTTATAGGTTAATTGTCAATTAGTACCATATTAGCAACAAAGACTTATTAGCTGTCATAGATTATACCTTTGTTGTGAGAAATTGTCTCACAGCAACTTCTTGATTCAATCTAGCAATAAGATCCTCAACAGTCCGTTTTTGCTGTGGCTAGTCTCTGCTGCAATGTAGTTAGAACCCTGTTTAACTTATGTCGCTCCTCAGATGGAAGAGCAACTACTAAGTCCCTTGAAAGCCTTAAATCAGATTTGACAAAAGCATTAGGAGCTTCAGAACCTTTTGCAAGATCAAGGGAGCCATCACCGAATAAATTGGCCACTCCCAAGTTAGATGTTTCATTAACTCTCATAGAACTCGAGTCACTACCAAAACTCTCCGTTGAAAGCCTTCGAACATGGCCATCCCGGTTGTCATCCTCTATTTCTGAAAAGAACTCTGTTCCATCCATACAAAGAGGTTTGGCATAAGAGTTATTCTCGCTTACTCGGTCCCTATCTGTACTACTGGCATAACTTCTGCCAGGCATTTTGCGCCTAGGACAGCCTTTCTAGGCTTGACTGGATAAAATTCCGGTTGAATATGCCAAATTTAGAATTTTCCATTGAATCAGCTAAGTCATGTTCAGATATTGAATGCTCCATGCCAAGATCAGAATGGTTATCATCTCCATGCCTTGGTGTTCCATTCTCAGATACATCAAGGGGAGTATCATTACCATAATCTAGATGTGATAAATGAACTAGCAGCAACAATGGAAAGATCTGAATGAGCTTGTAACAGAAATGATGGAGCTGCGCCACTAGTCGAAGAGTTTACATCTGCAGATTCCTGATTGACTTCATGGAATGCTGTAAAGTATGACAGCCAAAAATTAATATAAGCAAATGGACAAAATCAATATATTATACATGATAGGATTTCCATCTCTAAGATGCACAAAGGATACACACATACAAGACCTTGCAGCAGCTTCAAGCTCAAGAAAGGTTGCAACCAAGACATTTCTTGATAAATCAATGTCCGATAATAGCTTTTCAATCCAATCCTCCAAAGAACGCCTTCGCTGCAACAGACTAACCAATTTGAGAATAAGAGGATGAACACTTTAGAAAAATAAAAGGCATAACAAAATCTTTTTCAGCAATAAGAAAAACCTAATGTTTGTAAAGCTACATCTGCATCAACGTATTTTATTCAGATCCAAATTGTGTAGATGTGTGTGTGTGTAGATATTTGTATAGCTATACTGGTGATGATTAAATAACCATTAACTTGGTCATATATAGAAGTTGACAAATCTATGCAAAACATGTGCAAGCATATATTCTGGTTAAAAGCCCCCATAACAGTCCAAATATAGGCTCCAGTTAAGGACTTGAGTGGTTGAACCTCAGCCATTACAACAAATAGGGGCTGCTGAGATGCACAGTGGATGGTTTGCATCAATCCATAAATGACCTAACGGCTCATATGCAAATTCTTAGCCTAGGTCATTTGTAATTTTTCTGTGGTAAATGCTTAGATCATTTGTTGCTTACACATGAATAATATGCAGGTTTTTACCAAGAAAACCTTTGGCCTCCGATAAAAAGCCCAAGCAATAGAAGATTTCAAGATTTTAAAGGGTGCAGTGAAAACCTGGCTTAAGTCTCAAAATAGCTCTGTAACTACCATTTTTGTGTGCAAGTAACCTCGCAACTAACTATAAAGATACTGAGAAAACCAATGATCCAATTAAAACTTCTGACATGAGGTATTGCTATAAAATGTATCTCAACATGTATGTTACACTAAAGTTACTTCTGATTCCAATATACATATACTAATATTTGGATCGAGAGAGAGACAGAGAGAGACAGAGAGAGAGAGAGACAGAGAGACAGAGACAGAGACAGATGTAGCCCACCTCTTCCAATAGTGTCCGACTTTTCACTCTCAGAAACCCCTTTGGAGGAGCTGGGGGAAGATCTTTTGTGGGGAACTCCTTTTTAAGCTACAGAAGACAATACCAAATGAAATCGTTCAACAGTCCAACAAACAAGGAAATTTCTAATATCTACGACACAAAAGACATATAAAGATAAACGTGTCTGCCTGTCTATACGAAGAAGTAGCTAATTTTAGTAACAGCATCTCAGCCTTATGCCAATAAGAGATAAGAAATTGGCACAATTGAAGATCATCCTTACCGTTATTCCAGTCATATGGAATGATCTGCACATCTCCTAATTTTTCTTGATCATTTATTATCTATGAAGCATGGATATGGATATGGCAATACGATACAATATGACACAACACGGCGATATGACAAATTTTTAAAAAACAAGGATATAATACAGCATGGATACGGGAATTAATATTAAACATTTAACATTTAGTTGTTATTATTATTATGATAATTTAAAAGATATCATAAAGAATTTACTGGTAATTTACAAGTCATAAATGATTGCCTATATTTACAAGATGTAGTCATACAAATTTAAATATATAACATAGTTTTCTTTTTAAATTGGACGATGAAATAACATAGTTTAATGTTAATTGCATTTTATTTTTTTCCACCTCTCCATGTGGGTATGATTAGTGGGCCGGTGGGAAATAACAGAGTCCAACACATGAAATTCAAACGGAGCGTTTTGAAGTGGCTGTCATCTTCTTCCTCGCGATGATCTGCAATCACGCTTTCAAGGCTAAAAGCCTAAAATTTTATTCTCCTCAACATCATACGTATCCGAAAAGTCGGATACCCGAATCCTAAATGCTGGATACTCATATCCATCAGTTAACAACGTATCCATCGATCCCAATACGTACGAGCGTACCGGTAACTTATCATATCCCATCAAGTATCTGATACGAGATAGGCGACCAAGTTGCCGTATCCATGCATCATAGTTTATTATTTATTTCAGAGTCAGTCTTAGTCGTGGTTACCCTTTTCGTTATTTACCTTCTACTTTAACAAATCTAAGGTTGATTACAAATCATAAGTGCATTTCTAGCCTTAAGTTACATATGTCCTACCACTAAGCCAGATATCTCCTGTATTATCACTAATAGGTGCCACTCACAGTGTTTCCACTAAGCCGAACAATGTGCATGGAAATTGGAAAATAAATAGGCGTGTGAGAATTCAATAGAACCACACTTATAATGTACTTAGTATTCTTTTATCGTATATCCTCAATATTGTAAAGGATTTTACTATCTACATTTCTATTAATTTTCACCACATATATTTTAAGATGATACACAGAATAGAATTATCCCTTACTTCTGACTAACATAAAAACAATGTCATGTACTTTAGACTTTCCAAAATGAAATTTCATGTACTTTGGAATTTCCAAAAGAAATGTCACTTACTTCGGAACATAGCTTCAAAAAATCGTTAAATCTTCGTAATATCCCCCGAGTAGTGGTGATTCCTTCAGGCGATTGTATACCAACTTGAACCCTATAAAACTGTTCTCTATAAATGTTAAAAGGGAAACTAACTAAAACAGGTACACATTTAACAGAAAATAAAGCACAACCAACATTGCAAGAGAACAAATAGAAATCCTCACCAACATTACATTAGCATCTCCAGCCATTTCTAATCACATAATTTCGAAATATAAATATCAAATTACATTTTTTGTTTCTTTTGAAAAATTAGATAACAAGCTATTACAACTACTGGAATCACTAAAATGCAGGTGGTACCCTAGAGATATTTATTTTCGTATATCGAACACAATAAGACAGGAACTACACTGTTGAAAATCCACAAGCAAAGTTCTCAGAGAAAATTACTAAGGTGGTACCCTAGAGATATTTATTTTCGTATATCGAACACAATAAGACGGGAACTACACTGTTGAAAATCCACAAGCAAAGTTCTCAGAGAAAATTACTAAGGCACTCGACAATGAAGCTGAACACTTTTAGATTCTCTATGTGAGTTTTAAATAAAGTTGTCCTCGCCTTTACATAATCATTTATCACAACCACATATTCCTAATTTATCACCATAAATCAATCATTAAATGCATTACTTAACGAGCCAAAAATCAACTCAAAGTAGTTTTGTGCCTTCAAATTAGAGTGAGTTACAATGATGATTTAGCTATAAAAATTAAAAATTAACAATAAAATAATGATAATACTGATAATGATAAAAATTATACTAGTAGTAATAAAACAGGAACAATATATGACAAAAATGAAGGACAAGAAACCTTGCAAAAGACACAGAACTAAGAGATTTGCTGATTATGGTGGAAAATCAAACTAGGATGGTCCAAGAACCAACAAGAAAATCCCATATGCTTAAGCAAAGTGCTTCAGTATAACCACGTATAATAAACAAACTACTAAGTAATGGACTGCTACACAGGAAAGTCCAAATGTAGATAAAGATAAACTTAAAATTATCAAATTATAAAATTAAAGAACATGGGTTAAGAACTGATACATATCTGTACTTAAAATTATAAGAAAATACAAAAGTATGGAGAGAAGGTGAAGAGAGAGAATTTGCAGGTAAACAATAGACAGTGGCCTATTATCTGCCTAACCCAAGATGTTGGATCTAATCCCTCCTTATTAGGGACAATGAAAATCTTCCAATTTCATTGGCCAATTAATTTGGAATAATACTGCTGATAATAGCATTAAGTGGAGGGTTTCTCAATCTTCAATTTGGAAGACTATGAAAGGAGCCTTGGAGTTATACCAGCATTCCAACTAAAATTGTCTAAAGAGAGAGTTCGGAGCAAGAGTGTCCTTCATGGATCCTTCATGATATATGAGAGTATCCAATTGGATACAAGGTCCAGGCTAGAGATTAACTCTTGAGTGGTATTTACTTGTACTTGTTTGTTCTCTCTTCCAGTGAAGTTGGATAGTCTGGACGTAGGCATAATTACTCTGAACCACATAAATATTGGTATGCCTTTTCATCTCTGACTACTTTTTTAAATTATTTCCACAATTTGTATTTGTCGTGATTAGGGGATTCATGTCACCTATAGATGATGTCAAGAACAGCTATGACAGATACAAATGAAAATTTTCAATTGAACAAAACAAGTAACAAGTAAACAACTCAGATGTTGCAAGAACAGAGTACAAACTAAATGATCACTTTAACACACATTAGTAACTATAATGCCAATGGAAGAATAGTTGTGCACAAGTAAATGTACAAGAATCTAGATAATGTTGTCACAATCGAGAACAGAAAATAAGTATAAAATTTAAAACTAAAAATTCTCATTAAAAAAATATATATACCACCACAGGATCTGAACCTCTTGACTTGGGCAGGAACATCCAAGAAGGAACAGTGACACAGTAACTCCATCCTGTATGTGGGTTATGTGGCCAAACAGAGTATCGTCCATCCTTCATTCAAAACCCAAAATAGATTATTACAAGAAGGGGAAAAAAACAGAATCATCTAAATTAGAATCATGCAGAATCTTGTACCGCAAAAACCAAATCTGTCATATACTAACAAAACTGATTAACTTACAGCATACAGGTCATGTCAGTGACATATTTCACTCACTATATAGTTGAAGTACTGGTCTAGGTTAACCCCACAAAAATAAGGCCAAATGGGAGGAGGTAACCTCTACCTTTTTGCAATTAACAGTTCCCATGTTGTATTTCACCATATTTATGATGATTGGCAGACACCAATAGGTATGTTTGTCTTAACAGAGAAAACTGAACTAAATAAGTTACCTGACGTAGATGGAAATATACACGATTAAAAAAAAGTATTATACCAACATTTCGAGTCGTGTAAGATGGAAATTTATCAATGATATTTAAACTTGGACCTTCAAAATCTAAGCATATAACTGCAAAAACTACAGCAAAACGTAATTCTCAGTGAAAATGAAAATCCAGATTTAAATACCATCTGTTATACTTATTTTCAGGTCTTACAGTAATTTAGGCCTCAACTTCTTTATGTAGGTGAACCACCAAAACCCTACATAATAGCTCAACACCGTTTTTGGTAGATCTCTTCAATTGTGAATTTCAGAAGCAGCATACAACCAATTCATAGGGTTCCTGTGACATTGTTTGTTCTAAAACCCCCCTTTTTCCCCAAGTGAAATGCGCATAGAAGGTGCAGCATCCTAACATATTACTTCAATTCGATCTTTCTATCCTCTTTTGCAGTATAAAAAATATAAAATTATTCTCCAGAGGGTTTCTATTTCACTTCCCTTCTCCCACACCTGGAAATACTTTACAATCATCTACACCTGTTTACACCTTCCCATTTATATCTTTCAGTTTACATCCAACAGTGTCCTCTCCCCCAAAACTTCTTCCCGAGCTTCCATCCCATCCCAGACCGACCAACCATACCATATCATTAACACCCTTAGAGAAACATTGTCAACATACACACCCATTGACTGTGAGAAACATCTCCTACTTAAGGCTTGTGGGACTGTCAAAAGCCCAGACATACCTATTCCATTATTTTGCACCCCATCACTACTGGTATGGATCAAAATTTATTCTCTCATCGCCACTCCGAATTGTCGTATTTTCAGTAAACAAATTATATGTCCACTTTATTTTTTTTCTTTTCCCTTTTAGTTATGATATGTCCTCTAAAACATAATTAAAATAACTTCAATCACCTAGGTCTGAGATCAAGTGCTTAAATTCAATCATATACTTCATCAAATTTCAAACTTTTAACACATAATTAATCCACAAAACCAGTCGAAAAAATCACCAAAACCTACTTACCTAAATTCCAACCCAAATCCAATAATTAATTCAAAAGCAAAATTAAAGCTTCATAACTGGGTGTCCCCAAAAGCCATAAACTAAACAAAACACGATCAGAAAACGAAAAGTTCGAGTACCCATTTGCGAGGAGGAGGGCTCCAATCCATGCCCAGAGGGAGAGGCGAAGTGCCGTCGTGGCGGTATTTCGGAGGGCTGCGACTGCGCTCCACGCGCTTGGTGGTGCTTTTGATGTCATAATCGTCCCTGGCATCAGAAGCTACGTCGTCGGTGAGATGAGGGGCAGTTCGGGAATCGGAGAGTAAAGAAGTAGGGCGGTGAGAGAAGGGATCGGAATAAGGATCGGAGAAATCGTAGGAGTTGAAGTCCATGAGAGAGAGATCGTGCGCGTACAGATTCATTCTCGGTTCGTTGTTGTCTGTGTTCCTGGTGTTACCGCAATTAGTACGAACTACGAAGGCTTGAAGCCATGTAATGTGGACGCGATCCGATTTGATGTTAAAAATTTAACCGGATCAACGAGCATTTACCGCTTCAATTTGGTCTGATTTGTTTATCTTATCATTGAAATCGATCCGAACCGGACGAAATCAAACTATTGTTTATTGATTTTTATTTTCAATTAACTGGTTTGATTCGAACAGTTAAGCCTATTTTAAAACATAAAAGATTTAAGAAAAAACATTTATCATTTTAAGAGTTTTAATTTTTTTGCATATTCACACATCTTACGTATTTCAATTCGATTAAAAGATTAAAGTTTTTTTTTCAACACAAAAATGTTATGAAGTCAACTAGTGCTAAGTTTTAATTAAATAAAATCACATGCTAGCAAACAATTTACTATTAAATAAGAATAGTGTTACATTTACTATCTATTTGTATATGTTGATCCTAAAAATTACAAAGCCTACGTGGCGCGCAGGCCGAGTAACTAATAAGCTAATTACGTCCTTCGGTTGAATGCGGGGCGTGCCAACTCGTCGGCCGAACTTGGCCGAGGAGTAAAATTTGTTGATGTTGCCTTCAGCCGGGGAAAGAACAAATCTCGGCCTTTGGATTCTCGAGCCTGAAGACAAGGCTACTAGTTCTGCGAAGTTCACAAATCGTCGACGCCGGATTTGGTCACAGTGATTATATTCGTGAGAGTATAAGCACGTTGAATCGACACCAGACTGTATGGACACAAGTATTCAAAAGTGATGTATGTCTTGATGGTGAATGTGATTCGGCCGTCAGAATGCCGAACTCTGAAACTCACTTATGAGTATCCAATCATAAAATCACTTGGCGTTCAATACGTCGAATGTCGTAACTCGTAACACCTTACTTCTCCGAGAAGGCTAATAAGATGACCTCTGCCAATAAGGATTTGGAAACCCTCCTCGACCGAGACTTGGATAGGTAACCAGTCGGCCTCAACGCAGTGCTGTTTATCCAAACTGAAGGTGCTCCTCGGTCGGCTGATTCTACAGTAACAGTGCTGTTTATCCAAACTGAAGATGTTCGCCAATTGCCTTCACAGTGCTGTTTATCCAAACTGAAGATGTGTCGGCGAGAAAAATAAAATAAAAAAAATCTCAAGATGTTTGAGAGGTTTTGCGCAGGGCAATTGTGTGTTGAATTGGAGGTCCTTCAATTGTTGCATGAAGTCTTGTATTTATAGCACCAAATCCTCCTTGAAATCGAGTCAAAATCATATCTGGATTGGGACTTCTTGTTATGCTCCAACTCTACTTCGACCAATCCTACCCCTATTAGGACTTTGAACTCTCCCCCTTTTTGAGGCTATATTCATTGTTGGTCGAGAAGCCAAACTACACTAGGACTTCTTCAACCCCTTTGCTTATTCGAACTACTCCTTCTTGCGATAGGACTCGACCATCCTTGCTGAATGGCCGAGGATTACCAAGCAGCCCATAGTATATCTAAAACAGCTTTGGGCCGAGCATAAACCTACACTCGGCCCAACAATATTATTTTGGGCCCAAACAGTATCATAATATTATACCATTTTATGTGGCATCTTAGGTGGAAAACCACATTTAAATGATATCAATTTTTATTCAATTAAAGAGAATTAAAAAAAACAAAAAAACAAAACAAAACAAAAAAACAAAAAAAAAAAAACAAAAAGGAAAAGCCCTAAAACAGTAAAACCTAGCAAACGTAAAACTTAATGTTTCTTTTTCTGCTGTCCTCTCCATCTCCTTCATTCTACGCTTTCTTAGTCACCATCTTCCCTATGCCCTACGAGAACACCGCTTCCACTACGCTCCATGCTTTAATTATTGGTAAGCATTGATTGTTATTTTTTCATTGAATTTTTTTCCCCTTTGTGGGTCTGTATGCAATTTCTTTCCTTCTTCATTGTTGCAGACTATTGTTTTTTCATCCACAATCGTGTTGATTATTGTACTTTTGTTGAGTTCATCTTTTCAATCGTCTTCTTAATCTCTACTATTGCGAGTTGCTATTGGCTATCATTATTTTATACTAGTCAACTGTTGAATGTTAATGAGAAGTCCAGTATCATTGTAGACTGAATTTAAGCATCCCCAATTGCTTTAGTTTGCTTTTCTCACTAAATTGGTTTGATGACAATGAAGATTGAAACATCCCCCAATGAATTAGAGAGCATTAACCACATGAATAACAATACAATACATCAAGGTAATTTACTTTTTATTAGAAGAATCGTTGTTTTGATTGTGCATGTACTCTTGATGATTGGGTGGATTATATCAGCTTGTATAATTATGTTTTGTACGACATGGACATCTTATAATGAGATGATTGAAGAAGAAGAAGAAAATGTAATCGAAGTGAATTCTAATATCATTAAAATATAAAGCAACAAATGTGACATAGAAAATAATGAGACTGACAATGAGAACATGATGAATGTGGAAGAAAAAGTACAAGAGCCTCAAGTTCGAATGTTCTTTGATAGTTAGATGAGGTGCTTAGATATTACTAGAGATATGAAAGACAAACAGGGTTTCCAGCGATAAGGATAATCAATGAAGAGAGATGATAAATTGAAATATTTTACTATGGCATATGCATGATCAGATACATCAAAAATTACTTTAAGTAATCCTCTTAAGCCACATCCAAATATAAAGAATGGTTGATATATTCTTAGAGTAGGTTTACACTTGGGTACTGGAAAGTGAAGAGTAGATACTATAAAGCTAGATAATAATCATGATTTAAGTCAAACAAAAGCTCGTAATTGGAGGTGTTACCGAGAGATTAGTTCGGACATTAAAAAAAAGTTTGAAGTGAACGATAAAGTTGGAAGAAGGGTAAACAAAAGTTATGAGACATTGAAATGTTTAGAAAAAAAAAATTGTAGAAGTTATATCGAAAAGGTACGACGCTTACAACTTGGGGAAGAGGATGCTACTGCAGTTCAAAACTACTTTGTAAGAGTGTAGGCTCAAAATGCAAATTTCTTCTATGTAATTGATTTTAAACAAACATGGTAGTTTAATAAATGTATTTTGGATAGATGCAAATAGTAAGGTAGCTTATAATGAATTTGGTGATATTGCTCTATTTGACACGATGTACTTGACTAATAAGTACAAAATGTCATTTCCTCATTTTGTTAATCATCATGGTCAATCAATCTTACTAGGATACATATTGATTTCAAGAGAAAATACTGACTCTTTTATTTGGCTGTTTAAGATATGGTTTTCATATATGCCAAGTCATGCTCCAAGTGGAATAATTACAAATCAAGATAAAAGAGATTGAAGTTGTTTTTTCCTATACATGAATATGATCATTCTATTCACACAACATACATATTATTTTCATCACACAATATATATGTTATTCTCATCCATCATAAATTTCAATTCCTACCAAATGACAGACAACTGGCCAAATTTTTTTTCAGTAAAAAAAACATGGCACTTTATGTTGTCCATTTGTGTGGCTATGAGCTTTCCAATTATGAAGCTATAACATTTAATAAAACATTGGGGCATTTGAGCAGGAAAACTTCGTGCTCACCTTAACTCATTGGAGAAAAAAATACTTGTCAGCCTACATAAAATTATCTTGTTCGGTTGCTTCAAGGCTATCAACCAAAACAAGAAAACATATGAGGTAGAGAGGTTCTATTCAAGCAACTTCAAAAGGTATTTATTACAATTCTCTTCTTACCTGAAAATTGATTGTAGACTTAAATGGAAATGCTTTTGTTTACATATGTATTTAACACTTTTGTCTTCTATTTACATGAAGGAAGTTGACAAAGCTAATATGGTTCAGGAATAGTAACTCAACTGCATCAATGTCGCTTAGTGATGGCATTGAAGCTCAACCATAGCCAAACGACCTGATAGAACATAACCATGAAAATCATTTAAGGGTTCCAAACAATGTCGAAGGGGCCGTGGATGAACGTCGTCTTATGACGCATAGAACACAAAGTCCTAGGGGAATAAATAGGTTAAGGAGGCACCTAATGATACAAATGAGCTGATGAAATTTAATGACAAATGACAGGTGATAAAGTCTACTCATACTGTTGCAAGATTTTCCAGGTTTCTAAGAATGTTATCTCAAGAATCATCATACCTTCCAACTAACGTAGTCAATTGAAAGAGTTTCTACAAGACTTTAAACATAGACTGTGCTTGGCAAATGACTATGGTAAATAAATACTAGAGGCATTACAAGATGAGTGGTATTCCTATATATATATATATATATATATATATATATATATATCTAGTTATTTCACGTATGTATTAGTAGAAAAATACTTGAAACCTAATGAAGGGGCATTACAAAGTGACTGTACATATTCATATTTCATATATTGAATGATTGTCAACAATTAATATCATATATATGTAATTGGCATAGTGACTCTTGATTGGATTGATTCTATAATGGTAGAATTAGATCAAAAAATTCATTGGGTTTGTGAGTTGAAGTTAAATGATAGATGGAAGCATTAGAATGCAAGTTACAAGAAGACATATTATACGTCATTTTTGCACCCACTCTCAACGAAGAAGTTCCATTGTGATGATGGTCGTGTCAACCAAGGCCAATGGAAACTATTAGTGCAACTATGGGAAAATGTAAACACTCATGTACCACATGCAATCAACAAATGTTTTTCATTTTTTAGCCACCAGACATGCTTGATTCAGTTATGGTATAAATTATGTTTATAAATGTCTGGATTATATGAATTAGGGATTCGGAAAGATTTCTTTCAACAAAATCTAATTAATGAATGATGAGTTTGACACATGCAAAAGTGTGCTACATAATCTAAAAATGATAGAAAGACTCTAAACAATCACATAAAATGAACCAGGATTTGCACAAATCAGACATGCATATGTAAGGCTTTCCCAGTTGTTTTGCACTATGTTAACTTAAATACATATTATTGCAAATGTG